CTGGGCGACGACATCGATGACGCAGATGACGCCAGAGAAATCGTGTTCTCTTGGTGGTTGGCAATCGCGAGATGCTGCAGCAGCGGCATATAATGTTTCAGTCTCTGCGCTGACACGTCGTAGTCGCGGGCAGCGCGGTCATGATCTCGCCGAGGGGTGTTGGGAGGACGTACTGGCGGTGACGATAGCTGCTGTTGGATGGTAAGCGGTGGTGCTCAACTTCGGGAAGCTTCACAGCCTGCGAGTTGCACCAATGACCGTCGAGGCTGCTCGGTTGAGACTGCGCGGTCAAGGCGTCATTATCAGGAACATATTGCCGCAAGCTTAGACAATGCTTTGGCTCTTGGTGAGGCGAGCTATGCAGCCTCCACCGTACGAGCAATCATCTGCCAGTTTCAGAGTCGTTTGGGATGCGACGAGTCTCGCCGCCCCACAAGACATTTGCACCAGCCAATTTAGAGAATTCATCCTCTAGTAGGTCATTTTGCTTGCTCTGTCGTGAATACCCCTTGATCTCTCTTGTCCGAACGCTATGAAGGTTGCATGACGACTTGGTCCATGTTGAAGTTGAAGGGTTGTTTCCGGATACGGCGGCAACGTTCCATCGAAGATCGCTGGAAAGGGCGGCGGTATCCGGCAACCAACGGTCGTTTACTCTGCAAGAATGCCCGTCCCGATGGAGCTCCCGCTACTGTATGGTAGTCTCTGGCTCGCACTCTTCAGTCTCTGGGTCGTCGTCTGCTACCGCGCCAAGGAGGTACTCGTACGACACTGGCTTTGCGAACTCATCACCCCATGTAGTATTGCACTGGGCTGCACACGGCGCTTGGCGCCACGGCCGCATCGGCGGTCCTCGACATGGCCGTTCAGTCACTTGTGATGCTCTTGGAGGCGCCACAAACCATTGCGAATGCGTGCCACGCGCTCTTCTTTGGCAGCTTCATGCTGAGTTTGCTCTTGATCGCGGTCGGGTATGGCATCACGACCTCGTCGCTTGGCTGGCGACACAGCGTGAGCCTCAGCGGTACGCCTCTCTTATATCTCTCTGTCTCTGACCTTGAAACCAGTTTATGCGGTCGTCCTCGCAATCTTTCGCTGGTGGCGCACCGTGAACGAGTCGACCGAAGTGCTCGTGCTCGCACTCACGTTGCATATGCTTGTCTTGCTCTACCTCTGGCGCGTACGTTGCTACATCCTCCTCTTCAAGCCACCGACTCTTGTGTAGCACACGTCGCAGAATCTTCATTTCCTGCTCATGGTCGTCTACATGATGCGCGGAGTACTACGAGATACGTCTCGGTACAGGTGCTCACGGCTCGTGCGTGCTAGGAGCGACTCCCGACCGACAGTGTCCTGCCAAAGTACTACCTCTTTCGCCATTTGCGCCAGATCCTCGTCTGCTTCTTCCTCGCCTACCTTGTGGTACGAGATTGCACTTTCCAGTTGATATCTTGATATTTGCAGTTTGGCGCGTGGACGGCGACCACCGTCGAGGATTCGTCGATGGTGTTTCTCATCCTTGAAGAGAGCTTGATCCTGGGCACGTCGGCGCACCTCGGGTAGACTTGTATATATATATATATTGGAAGTTATTGTCTGTGTAGACTCCTCTTGCGCCCGACGCCCAAATTCCAAAGCGAAGACTTTGGGCAGTGGAATGCGTACCAGCTCTTTAGCACCTATGCGCGGCTCATGCGCGGGCTCAGCATCGACGATGTGCTCTCGGGCGACGAGATATTGCCGCTGACGGCGCCGCGTCCGGACGTGGTCGTCATCCAGAACCCGTCGAGTGTCTCGGACCGCGGCGTGGTCGTGCACAACGTGAGCGTGGGGATCCCCGCGCTGCAGTAATCGTCAGACTGGATATTGTCGTGCAATTGGATTCTCTATTCTGTGTAAACCTAAGGCGCTATCTTCTATCGAGGCTTTTCCACTGTTTTTGCGATCAAAACATCGGGACCTTTTGGTTGAGAAAGTACATGAGCACGAGGAAGAGGAGGAGGCCGACGAACGAAAGGCCCGCGCGCGTGTAGTTGGACGACGCGACAGCGTGGTGGTACTTGTCGAGCGCCGTCTCGAGGTCGGTGCAGCGCTTCTCGAGGTACGCGCGGCGCTCCTTGGTCAGCGAGCCTTCCTTCTTCTCCTTGAGGAGCTTGTCGTCTTGCCACAAGAGCGCGCGGTTCTTGGAGAGCTCGGTGCGCGCGAGCGCGAGCGCGGTGCTCGACAGCGCATTCTACAAGATTCGCATGAGCCACGTGGTCGACAAGGTGGCAGGCAGGACGTACGTGCTTGTTGTTGTACTTTTGAAACTCGCGGTCAAACTGGTCAATGGGCCGCTCGGCGTCGGCGGCGGCGGCGTTCGCGGCGGCGGCCTTCTCGACAGCGGAGCGCTTCTGGGCAGCCATGGCAGAGGGTATGTGGGGCAGGAGGCGTGGATTCGAAAATGTTACTTGCACCGCTGTGGACAAAGACCGGATAAGCATCGTAGGTTTCCGGACGCTGGGACACGAGCACTTGGCGCACGCAACTTGGCGTGCCTTGATTACGAGCTCGGTGGCAGCACGTGCGTCAAGCAATATGGAGCTTACTCGCGAAGGACCGTCGCTACTACCACTGCATAGACATCGACAGCAGCGGCAACACCGTAGAAGATCTTTGGCTCTCGTACTCGGAGCTGCGAGGCAGTTAAATGTCGACCCAAACCACGGGTCGTCACGGGCATGGACGCTGCCAGACGTATACGCGGCAGCTTATACGAAGCAAGATGCATGGACCTCAGACGACGTCTGCAAGTAGGATACTTACTACCTCTTGCTGCCTTGCAGAGCCGGCCCGATCCACATGCTCCATGGCCGCGACATGCAAGGTTGTGTGTTTTTAGCTGCGCGCGCAACGTGGCGCATCCCTGGCGACTCTGCCGCATCGTTCGCGACAGCATGACTAGAAACGTGGTTTCGCGTTGGTCTCGTACAGTGTCAACTAGAACGCAGCGATAGCAGGGTTTGCGTACGAGGCTTTTGCTTGCATCAAAGAGGATCCATCCCGGTGGATATGACGCCGTTGCATTTGTTCCTATGGTGGTGCACATCGCAGGCGAGGCGTAGCAAACCGACATGCACTTGGCATCACGCATCGTCTTCGCGGTCTACGTTCGCCTTGCAGTGGAAAATGGTTATGCACACGCTGCATCATGAGCAGCAACGCCTTCTTGTGGCAGCTGAGAACGATGTACTGTACGTTTGAGCAAACCGTAATATCTGAAAATTTAAATAACTTGCGATGTATTTTTCTCGGCCCACAGAGCGAATTACAAAAATCGGAAACCGTCAGACGTCGAGGAATTATTTTATACAACGCTTGACGGTTTCCGATTTTCTGTTTTGTACACGAATGCCGCGAAAAGTCACCTGCAATTTTTGAAGTGGTGATGATTCTTGAAAAAAATACGATGACTGATATAATTCCGAATTTATTTCCATGTCTCTCATATTTATATCGGTAATCAAATTCTTGAATGCGAGTAAAAATCCAGCTGGCTGTATAGTCGTGTATCTGTATTTTTTCTTTCGTCTTTATTTAAATAATGAGCGTTTAAACGCCCCAGCTTCAAAAAATTACACCAGAAAGTGGCTCGACGGCATTAAAATACAATGCTCATATCTTGAGACATAATTGTCCATTCGACGTACAAGTTGACACACTAGGTTATTAAATTCATTTGAAAAATTCTGGTACCCCTGTCCTTATTTCTTCTCATGAAATTACGGTTTGCTCAAGCATACAGTACGTCGCTGTCGACTTGAACACTGTGTCAGTTGCTGGGGTCTGTACTTGCCCGTACTGCAGAACGACGGGGCACCCGAGTTTCTTCTGGTCCTGATTCAAAATTTCGCCTTGATACTGTACTTAGATACTACTCGTACCAGGTAGTTCTGGGCGGCGTTGGGCGCTAACCACGAACGGCATTCTATAGCGGCGTGGAAGGCTTCCTGTCGGCGACAATGCCCTCTCTGTGCATGACGCTGCCACGTTGTTGTGCGAAGAAAGGAGCCGGCGTCCTATCGACTGGCCTCTTGGGCTCTTCGGTTCCTCAAGTGGTGGGTGCGGCTTGCTTGTCGGTTCTAGTTCCATCGTGGTTTGTCCAATCGCAAGGAAGCACGCTTTGGGTGGAACCGGACAGCCGAACCAGACCACGATTGTGGCGTTATCAGATACTGGCGCCGTTCCCACTTTGCCTTTTCATTTTCGGTTTCACGCGGTAGACAAGACGGCGATCGTCAGATGTGGACCCAAACTGGTGAAAATGAGCAAGCTCCTGCGCCACTAAAGAGACGCCGCGTGATACCTCGGTGGCACGACGAGTACTTTGAAGTGTCCCCCGACGGCTCGCGCCGGTGCAAGCTGTGCCCCGACACGGTGTACGGGCACAAAACGTCGTCTGGCACGCGCCTACGACACCTCGAAGTCGCCCACAAGCTGACGAGCGAGTCGCCGCTGGTTGAGCGACCGAGCATCGAGGTACGCCGATACGCACCAGAGCCATCGCTGGCCGTCGTCGTCGACAACGCCGCCGTCGACAACGCCACAGTGGACAACGGCACAGTGGACAACGCCGTCATCGAGTATATTGCGAGCGTGGGCTTGGGCCATCGTCACGTTGAATCGGCCGGGTTTGCAGCGTGTCTGAGAATGCTGCGACCATCGTACACGCTCATGACCGCCTCTACCGTCAAGCAGCGGTTGCTCGAGATGTACATTGTGCTCAAGATGATGCTCATCGACTACTTCGCCGCGGTCGAAGGGCGCTTCAGCTGTACGCTCGAGAGCAGTGCGTCGTCATCTGGCGACTACTGCCTCACGCTGCACTGGGCCGACCCGGCATCAATCGGGCTCTTGTCGGTCCCACTCGACTTTTTCTACGTCCACCCGAGCCTTCTCAATGCGAGCGAGGCCATTGCCGATGCCATCTACTCGACGCTTGGCGAGTTTGCTGTGTGGCGCCGACTCGTGGCGGTCGTGTGCGACTCGAGCTCGATGGCAGTGGCCAAGACGCTGAGCACCAAGCCCGAGAGCACGCTCCTCGCATCGTGCTGCCTCCCGTGCTTTGCGCACACGCTCGATCGCGGAGTCCTCGCCGTCTTAGCGCACTTTGAAGACGTCCTTGGCCGTCTGCGGTCCATGCTCGTGAAAATTCACGCGTCCAAGCAGCAACGGGACGCGTTCCGGCTCGCGTCGGCGCTCGAACACGAGGCGCCGCTAACGGTGCCGAGGCTGGACAGCGACGCACACTGGCGCAGCACGCATGCGATGCTCACGACCGCGCTCGAGGCCCAGGGCGCCCTTGCCGCGGTGTGCAACTCGGTCGAATGGGACGGCGCGCTCGATGCCTCGGAGTGGGCGCGCGCCAAGGCCCTCTGCGCTTTTCTTGACATCCCGAAGGACCTTGCGCTGAGCATAGAGCGCGCGCCGAGCTCGCTTTCGCTCGCCATCCTGTGCCAGCACGCAGTGGACAACTACGTGGTCGAGTGCGCGGCGTCGGACGAGCCCGAGATGGTCGTCGCGGCCAACGCGATGCGCGAGGCGACCGCCCTGCACGAGTCGCTCCTGGCGTCCAAGGCGGCGCGAATTGCCGCGTTTTTAGACGTGCGGCTGCCCAAGGCGCCCCGCGGGTCCACCGAGTCCGTGAAAGAGCTCGACTTCATTCAGGCCATCTTGGACGACGAGTACCCGACCGAGGCGTCGTCGTCGCGAACCAACTTGCCACGCATGGCGGAGCTGTTCATGCGGTCGTTCACCGACTGTCAAGACACCGTGTCGTCCGAGCTCGAGTCGTTTGTCAACGAGCGCCGTCTCAAGCTCGCGGCCGATCTCTTGGAGTGGTGGGACGACCAAAGCGAGACGTATCCGCGGCTGTACCGCATGGCGAGAGACTACTTGACGATCCCGTCTTCGAAGCAAACCCCGTCATGGCAGCCTCCTCCAAGTGACAACGACACGATGGGCAAGGCCGAGACGTGCCTCACGTCGTGGCTGCGCTTCCTGCATCACGTCGGCGCACCAATGCCCACAGACTTTCACGCAGCGTTTGAGCGTCTCGACAAGACCAAGGTGACAGCCCTGCGACGGTCGGATCCAATTGTGGCATACTTGTATAGACACGAAGCGTAATATATAGTCTTAGTCCGTCGTGATTTTCAAATTTACGAGATTTTCATAAACTTTATCTTGCACCGAGTCGCGTAGTCTCTGTGTCTGGTGGCGGGCTCCAGTTGTTGCACTTATTGTCATGGTATCACTGTACTGTCCTCGATCTCTGGCGGTAAATCGTAGTACGAGCCAGTTCAACCAGTTAACATCGAGTTGGGAGAACGGTGCTGAACATGGTACCTCAATGGTAGCTCTGCTTGCTTTCACAAGAAGCACCGAGTAATCGTCGTTTGCCCTCGGTCCTCGTCCCCACGAGCCAGATCCCACGTTGGAGCCGACCGCTCTCGGTTTTGACAAGGACTCTAACTTGAGAACCTAGTGCGCAACTTCAGCTCCATACCGACAACTCTAGTCGCCCGCTCCGTAGGCAGTTGCATTACACAGGCAGGCACCCAGCAGTAGCTTTGCAGAGGCAGGCACAGCGTCGCAGGCTGCGACGTCCTGCGGTGAGGTATCGTACAAGCAGCACACGACAATATTGTGTCTCATTTCATAGCCCAATCGATGGAAAACGTCACACCGCCGGAGCGTTAGTAGTCGACCAAGCATGTGACGGTCAATACATAAAAGGTCGTGCCAAGGATGAGGCGGTACGGGTTGTCGCGTTCGGTCGCCTCGCGCTCGTCGATAAAGACGATGCGGCCCAAAATGTACTCGGGGTATCTACAACATATGTCGCCACGGCGCTTGATATCTTGATACAAACCTGTTTTGGGCTTGGTGAAACATCGCAATCGACTCGTCCGAGAGGAACCGGTTCGGGCACCCGAGGTGGAACGCGAGGTAGATCTTGGCCGCGCCCGCGTCACTCGGCGCAAACGTCGGCAAAAAGAGCGCGAGGTCGTCATAGCTAAACGACCGGAACGCGATCTTGGACACAATGTCGTCGCTGGCGATCGCCTTGTCACTCGGCGCCGCGGTCGTCGACACGTGCAGTTGCTGCTGCTTGGCCAGCCACATGTCTTCGAAAGCGTCCAACCCTTTTTGGAGTCCGTCGACTGTCTGCATCTCCAACGTCGCCTCGTCCATGCCCACCAGGTTCCAGATCTGCTTGAGCGCCGAGCGCTGCGACCCGAGGAGGAACTGGGCGTGTGCGAGGTCGTTCTTGGCGCCTTCGCACTCGTCATTGACGCGCAAGAGCGCTTCGTCCTGCGACGCAATGCGGGCTTCGAGCGACGCGACCATCGTGTTGCGCTCGTCCAGCATGCCTTCGAGGCGCGCAGTCTTGTCGAGGAGCTCGGACGAGTTGGCCATTCCCGCGGGGTGGCCGGCCGTCGCCGCGAGGGCAAGCACCAATGGAAAGTTGGGGCCCTTCTCGGCGCTGCAGCTCATGCTACACAGGACATTGGCCCATGCAAGGTAGACGAGATGAAGGAGTACCTCGATGCGTTCGAGAACGAGCTGCAATGGCACGACGCCTTCTTCTGGTCGTCGAGTTCGGTCTGCAGCTCGTCGACCCGCCCTTCGAGCTCCTTGCAGCGGTTGCGAAGCACATCGAGTTCACGCTGCTCCATCTCAAACGGGGCCGGCGACGGCGCATCAATGGCCGGCAGTGCCTACATCCACTGGTTCCGACACGATATCCAATGCGATCCAGTGTACCGTGTCGAATGGCCGCATGCGGATATCGCAGTGGGACGGCTTCTCGACAAGCCCGGGCACAAAGTCGCGCGGGAGATGCTGCCCAAACTCTTTGAGAAACGCGTCGCGCAAGAGCACTTCATCTTCGCGCATCTGTGCGAGCTTCTCGCCCATACTCTGGATCTTCCACGTAAACTCGCGCCCGTACGAGCGTCGACGAACAATCTCCTGAAGGCACGCGTCGTAGGCCTCTAGAGACACAATATGACGCGTCGCCGTCACCCGACATCCTCCATCTCTCTACCTGGCAGCTTGGCCACGTGGTTGAGCTCGGCAAACTGCCGCTTCTGCACAGCCAGAGCGTCCTTGAGCAAGCTCAGCGTCTGTTCAAAGTCGCGAATCTCCGACTGGACGCGGGACACCCAGCGCAATTGGGTGTGCACGGCCGCACTCATGCTGTCCTTGCTCTCGGCGACTGCAAGCATAAACGTCTTGAGCTCGTCGTCGACCACCTGGTGGATATGCGGCAGCTAGGACCACCCGGTATATCAGTCCACAAGCGCATCTGTCGTTTGACGTACCAGCGCCGCTTGGTCCCGCTGCATCTCGTCGAGACCGCGAAACGCTTCGAGGACTGTGGCCGACGCAAACATGTAGCTGGTCGTCATGCTGCTGCTGCTCGTCGCCGTCGCTTCCGGCAGCACGTTTTGCGGCACGGTCTCGGCCACGCGCTGGACGACCGTCTCGTAGTTGGTCTGCAGAGTCGCCACGATGCTCTTGACGTTCATGTGGTCGGTCGACGAGACCACTTTGGCGTAGAGCACATCGCGCTGCCGTAGCAGGTCCGGCGCTGGCCGCGCCGACTGGGTGCTCGACGTGAGGCCGACGCGGATGCTTTCGGTGAGGGCGTGGTACGCGGCGGCGAGCGCCTCCATCTTGGCTTGCAGGTGCGTGTGCGACTGCTCGCATTGCGTGCGCCAGTCCCGGACGCGCTCGAGCGGAATGCAGTCGTAGAGGGTCGTGCGGTGAGGTGGCGTCTGCAGCGCCGGGTGGAGTGGGATCGTTTCGAGGCGACCAATGTACGCCTCGAGGTGTGTCAGGAGCTCTTCGTGGTGCTCGCTCGTGCTGCGAAAGTCCTTCCAGAACGGCTGAAAGTGCTGTGTCATGGCACTAGTCGAGACGATGCGTGAGATGGAAGATGCGAGATGCAAGTAGGACATGTGAAAGGTATCGAGGTTGGCCATGGCGGCTTGGATCGCGGATGCTTGTGCCCGCTGCTGCGCCAAGCACGTGTCACATGCATCAAGGCGCGCCTACATCCATGCGCGTCCACATTGCACTTTGGCAATGTCGATCTAAATGTACCTGTGCGACGGTGTCGAGCGTTTGGCCCATCATCGCGACAGCCTTGAACTGCACCTCGTAGTCGTACAAGGCTTTCAAAAGCGGGCTCGACGACTCGTACAAGGGCCGCGCGGCCGGCGCCGACGACGGGGAGAGGGATGGTACTGCAAGCGTTGTCGTGAGCGCGAAGGTTCGAGACGAAGTCGACGCACCTTCGTAGTGCTGTGGCTGCAGCACGGTCGGTGCGATGGCCAATGTCTCTTGCGAGAGCGTGCGCCGGTCGTAGACAAAGACGGCCTTCTACCATTACCAGGATATGCTGCTTCCCGCCGCCAATACGCAAGTCGGTACCTGGGATGTGTGAAATTGGTACGACTCGATCGTCTTCTTCGGGTCCAAGCGTGTGTAGGGCGGACCGTAAAGCAGGATCTGCTCGTCGGTCGGGATGCCCGTCGCGACCAGCAGCTCCTGGCGCAGGACGTTGCCCGTCGCTCTGGTCGGCAGCGTTAGCCGTCGCATTCGCTTCGCTGGCCATGCGTACCTGCTGCTAAGGTCGACGTCATACTGCATGCCATCCATGGCGTTGACCACGGAGACGCGGAGGACCGCGGGCGCCGGCGGAGCGCTTGTCGGGTCGTCGCCGTCATGGGCCGGTCTCTCCATGTTGCCGTATTCGTTATTCCCGAAGTCCGATTTCTGGGCCAAATAAAACGTTTCCAAATTAATATTCGACTTGATCTTTTTATTACTCTCGCTTTGTATTTGCAATAAAAAAAGAGGTAGGTCGAAACGGATTTTTAATGCAGTACCGATCCCATTTTGGACAGAATTCTCGTTAGCCGAGTCGCACTTGCATTGGCCAATCAGCGGGCGCGTCGACAGCTTTTTAGCCAATCAGACGTTTTACTACGATCTTCACGGCGCGTTACACGGAATGATGTTCTTGTGCTTGTAACCATATGTGCTTGTAATGAGGTTTCGCCATCCGGCCCCAGGTTGCAACAAAGACGATCTGCCCGCAGCAGCAGCATGAGCGACGACGCCGAGGTCCGCGCCCGCGCCAGCCGCGTCCAGCAGCTGATCCTGCAGAAGAAGTTTGTCGAGGCCGTGTCGACCTCGCTGGAGAACCCGCCCGTGAACGCGCCGGACGAGGCCACGCGCGTCGCCAACGCCCAGACTGTCTTTAGCGCGCTGCTTGCTTGCTCCAAGGCCGACATTGCGCGCACCGTGCAGGAGCTCACGCCCGACTTGGAAGACAACTTGATGAAGTACGTGTACAAGGGCCTCTCGGTGCCCCAGAACAACTCGGTCTTTCTCGAGTGGCATGGCCAGCTCGCAGCCAAGGCCGGCAGCGGCTGCATCATCCGCGCCATGACCGACCGCAAGGGCGTGTAAGCATCAATCCACGATTCTTCGATTACAACTGTACAATGCTCTTGATAAAGTCGACAATGAGCGCTGTCGTCTTGGAGCTGCCGCTCACATCGCCCAAGATCGAGAGGTGGTTCGTCTCGGGTACTACGTGGTGGGTGACACGCTCCTAGACAGTTGACATTGACACATTGGTTTGAGCGAGATCACGGCAACGTACATGGCCGTGGTTGCCAAACCACTGCTGCAACTCGCGACTGTCGTCCTGAAGGTGCAAGTCGTCGCTCGCGTTCAAAAGCAAGATCGGGCACATGGCGTCGACGCTCTGCAGTGTCGGCTGCATCACGGAGGCTTCCCGCCACACTTGGGCGTTATCACCAAAGACAGGCGTGACAACCAGTCCGCCATACATGGACGCATTGGCCATGCGGACAATGTTGTACACACCTGCAATGCCGACGACGCCGCGAGGCGGTGGCAGCACCGATGTCGCTGTTGGTGCAAGCAGCATCTTCATGATCGTATGGGCGCCCGCGCTATGGCCTACCCAAACAACGCGGCTTGCGTCGCCTCCATACTAGCCCACCTTGCAATATAAGCATATTGTATCGTCACAGGGGGTACCAATACCTTTTCAATGTGGTCGTGGAGCCATTGCCGTGCCAACTCGGCGTCTTCCACGTGCGCGGGGTAGCGCACTTCGGGCGAGAGGCGGTAGTTGATCGAGACAACAAGCGCACCGACGCTCTGGGCTAAGGTCGGCGCCAGGTCGGCGCTCAGCCGCCCGGCCTTGTCGCCGCGCTGCCACGCGCCACCATGGACAAAGAAGATCACAGGTAGCAATGCTCTCGGAAATGGCGGCTCTTTTGGCACCACGATGTCCTACAAGGTGCTTCTTGGCACGCGTAGCAGGGCGAGGCAGATAGAGCGTACGAGCGTCTGTCGCGCGTGGGGCTCAGCAGCGTACGGCACGTCGTGCCACGCGTAGTAGTGTCGTCGTGCGGCCGGTGCCCATCGCCGGAGCAGCATCGTCCAAACTGCAATCTCAATCGGCGGGATCATCCGGATACAACGCCCAACACCTCGAAATAGTGTACTAAGATCGAGGCATCTCGTGGCCCGTTGCTCGTCGCACGGCGCAGAGCATGGATGATACTGTCACCCTTTGCGCAATCGTGTGTGCGTGCGGCGTGTGCATCGAGTAGCGCTTGGCTCGATAGGGGCCATGTCCGCTTCTTGTGGCCATTAAAGAATACTATTTATCGTGAAACGCCGCCTGTCTGAACACTATTTCCGAAAATACAAATTCGGTTTGTGGCGACCATGTACCGAGCATCCGCCAAGGTCAGCTCGGCGCACAACGATGGCATCTGGAGCACGGTCTGGACGAGCCGCAACCAGATTCTGAGCGGGTCCGTCGACGAGGTCGTCAAGAGCTGGGACGCCAGCAGCACCGAGGACAATGCGATCTTGCCGGTCGTCAAGCAGTTCCCGGGCCACGTGCTGGGCACGCTCGGCGTCGCCGCGACCAAGGACGGCCGTCGCGCCGCCACGTCGTCGCTCGACTGCCAAGTGCGCATCCTCAACCTCGAGACGGGTGGCATTGAAAAGACCATCGACACGGGCGCTGGCGAAACGTGGCAGGTCGCCTACTCGCCGGACGGTGCGTTCGTCGCGACGGGCTCGCAGCAGGGCAAGATCAACATCATCAACGTCGCGGACGAAAAGGTCGTGCAGTCGATTGTCGTCGAAGAAGAAAAGCCCGCGAAAGCGTCGTCGTCGTCCGATGCCAAGGGCAAATTTGTGCTCTCGGTCGCCTACTCGCCCGACGGCAAGCACTTGGCGTGCTCGACCTTTGATGGCCTCGTGGCCATCTACGACGTCGAGTCGGGCAAGCAGCTGCAAGCGTACCAAGGTCAGATTCGATGACATGTACACGCTCGGGCTCATGGCGCTTGTAGATCGGACCAAGCCCGTGCGCTCGATCGCGTACAGCCCCGACGGCAGCTTCCTCCTCGCCGCCTCGGACGACATGCACGTCAATATTTACGATGTGTACGAGCCGTCTTCCATCGGTCAACATGACGTCTCACACGCCCTTGCTAGCGCCCACAGCAGCATGGTCGCGTCGGTCGCTGGCCACATTTCGTGGGTCCTCGGCGTCGCTTGCAGTCCCGATGGCAAGCACTTTGCGACTGGGTATATCGTTTTTGTCGTCTGAGATGAAAGATTCGAGACTCATCTTGCGACTGCGCATTAGCGGCGGCGACCGCAAGGTCAAGATCTGGGACCTCGCGGCCAAGAGCTGCCTCTACACCTTCGAGTGCCACACGGACCAAGTGTGGAGCGTCGCGTACAACGAGACAGGCTCCCGCCTCGTCTCGGGCGGCGACGACGCGCTGCTGCAGCTCTACGAAGTGTCGACGGCGTAAGCAACCGCCAATAGGAAGAATATTCTTTGCGCGTTCTTCTCGCCCACGATGCGTATCAACGCGTCAACGCAGCGACGGAGAATTGACGTGGCGCCTCGAACGATGCCAACCGACCCACTTGAGCTTTTGCGCAATGCGAGTCGTCGCGCTCGTGCTGGCTGCTGCCATAGGCGCCGATGGGCACGTCCAGGGAGACATTCGCGCTGGGCGCGTGCCCAGCCGCGGCGTCAACCTCGGCGGCTGGCTCGTCGCCGAGTACTGGATGACGACGTCGTCGAGCATCTGGAACGGCGTGCCAGCCGACAGAGCGGCGCAGGGCGAGTACCACGCGATGAGTGTCCTTGGCCACAGCGCGGGGGACGCAGCCTTTGAGAGCCATCGGCGGTCGTTCATTACGCAAGCCGACATTGCGCAGGTCGGTGCGGCAGGCCTCAACACGGTGCGCGTGCCAGTCGGGTATTGGATTCGCGGCTGCGGTATGCTCACCGGCGCCCTCTTCCAGCAGGTTCGCTGCCTCCTGTACCGATGGGAGCGCTCATATGACTAGTGCTCGGTCTTTGCGCCAGGTGGCCTCAAGTACCTCGACATGCTCATTCAGCAGTGGGCGCGCGCGGCAGACGTCGCGGTCCTCATCAGCATCCACGGCGCGCCAGGGTCCCAGAACGGCAACGACCACAGTGCCGCGGTTGTCAAAGGCAAAGTCGACTGGCCCAACGACCCAATCAACGTCAAGGTGACGCGCGATCTTGTGCTCTTCCTCGTGGACCGGTACAAGAACGAGCCGGCGTTCCTCGGCGTCGGGCTGCTGAACGAGCCGGACGGGCAAATGAACTCGAACGTGCTCTTCTCGTACTACATGGCGTCGTACAACGACGTCCGGTCCGTCTCGGACTGCATCCTCACCATGATGCCGCGGCTGTACAACCAGTATGCCGGCAACGGCGACGCCATGGGCGACTTTGGCAAGACGATGCAAAACGTGTGGATCGAGTGGCACCCGTACCTGATTTGGGGCTACGAGAGCTACTCGGAGGCGATGTTGCTCAACCAAGGCATCAACAGTATCGCCAACAACATTGCCAACTGGCGCGGCCACCCGCTCTACTTTGGCGAGTGGAGCATCGTGACGCCAGCCAGCACGTTCTCGAATCCTGATGCATTAGCGTCGTTTCGGCGCCAGCTCGTGCCGGTCATGAACGCAGCCCAAGGCGGGTGGGCGTACTGGACGTGGCGGGCGGACGGCGACGGGAATGGGAACAAGTGGTCGCTCCGAGACCTCTTGCGCCGCATGCAGTACCCGATTGTGCGCACGGCCGCGGTATTATCGACGTGGACCATGGACATGTTTGCTCATAACATGGTGTGTAGAATGCGGTCGGGTCGTCGCCGCCGCTCAGTGTCCTGCAGTCGAACGGCGTCGGACTCAGCCTGCTGACGCAGACGCAAAGTCTAGCTGCCGATCCCGCGTGGATTGCGGCCATGGGGCCGCTGGTCGCTGAGCGCTGGAGCTACAACCCGAGCACGCAGCAGCTGCAGTCGCTCACAAATGGCAACTGCCTCGACGCGTACTTTGACAATGGTCTCCAGCGCAACGTCATCCATGGCTACAGCTGCGACGGCAGCAATGCCAACCAAAAGTGGCAGCTCGTCAACCACCAACTTGTAAACAAAGGACTCTGTCTGGCGCTCGTGGACGCGGCGATCAACACGGACTTGGTCGGTAACCGGCGGCTTGTTGCTTGCGACACGGCGAGTACGGCCCAGTTCTTCACGCTTGGCATCGAAGTCGCTCGGCTACGCATTGCGTCATTGGCGTCGCTCGTGCTCACAGCAGGACTGACCTTTCAGTCGCCTTTGGCGCGGGACACGTCGCAGCTCTGGCTATTCAACCACCTCGACTACACGGTCATGAACCAAGGTAGCGGTCAGTGCCTCGACGCGTACGAGGCCAAGGTCGGCGGTGCCGTCCACCTCTACGAGTGCGTACCCGGCAACGTCAACCAGCTCTGGCGCTACAACCCGCAAACGCGCCAGCTCCAGCATATGGGGCACGCAGGCTACTGCCTCGACGTGTACGGCCCACCGCACCTCAATACATGCTATGCAATGGGCGACCCCGCCATGTGGGCACAGGCGCTCCAACTCGAGTGGATCTCGTTCCCGGCCCTCACGGGTGGCTACGCGGCTGTCCAGAGCTCGTAGAGCGAGACGATACCTCTTGAATATTTGTGGATTTACTTGAAGGGAGCTTTCTTGTGTGCCCAGCTGGGGTGGGGACAGTGCTGACTGGAGCACAAGTGTTGTCGTCGAGGGAGCCAAAGTGCAATGAACGAAAAACAAAGTGCAATGACCGAAGGACACCTTCTTGCGAAGGTGAGGGATTCCCGAGAAATTGTAAGAAATTTATCGAAGAAACCTTTCGGAATCTAGTTGTTACTAGGGCAATGAATATTACAATAGCTATTTCCAAGTTCTTAGCTCGCCACGTAGGTTTTGCAACTAGTTTAGACCTTGATTGGCTGGACAAATGAATCCGCTGCCGTGAGCGTGCCACGCGTCCAGCCCAAGACACAGTCCTCCGCCCATCAACCACGACGTGCGTTGGAGCACCGATCGACCCTTCCATCCCGTACAATGTACAATTGTAGTATGGTCTAAATGAGCTGGGTTAGGAGTTTGTCCCTTTCTGTCATTCCCTCAGTTCTGGTGCTTGCTGTGAACGTGGCGACAGCGCAGCGAGCCCAAGAGACAGACACCGACGCACTCTTGCTCACTTGTATATGCAAGCGCGCCTTCCAGCTCGCGTCTCGTCAAGGGTGCATGGTCAAGGGCGCTTGGGTGCTGGACGTGGCACGATGGTTCTCGAAAGCCGATCCTGCGCGTTCGGATAAACTGTTATGCGGATGCTTTTGTTTACCGCCTGGGTGGCATTTCCAAACGATCTCGATCATCATGGCGGCGCCGGTCTTGGCGATCCGGGACGCGGTGCTCTTCCCGGGCGCGTACCTGCGCGTGTCGGTGGGCCGCGAGAGCAGCCTGCGCCTCGTGCAGGAGACGCTCTGGAAGTCGTTCCATGCGTCGCTCGAAGCGGCGGCCATCGCGCCCGTCCACGTCGGCGTCTTCACCGAGCACGCTGACACGCTTGGCGCCACGGGCACGTTGGCGCGCGTCGTGCAGCTCCAGCGCGCGCGCACCTTCCGCAAGAACGCGCACGAGTACGAGTACTCGATGCTCCTCCACGGACTCTCGCGCATTCGTATTGCCGAGACGCACCAGACGGCACCGTTCATCCTCGCAACGCTCGACAAGGTCGACGACACGTACGACACCAACGGCGATGTCCGGCCACTGCGCGACCTCATCAAGCACGTGACTGCTACGTTTGCTGTCTCGAAGCGCATGCAGTTGCCTCGGCTCTCGGACGACGACGACCGCGCGCTCGCCAAGATCAGCGCGTGGATTGACATGCTCTCGGCCCATGTCCAAGGCTCGCTGCAACAAAAGCAAGCACTTCTCGATGAAGCCGACATTGGCACGCGGCTCGACTTGCTCGTCGCGATGGCCCAAGGCGCGAATTCGAATAGCCGTGCGCTCACTCTGTTCCGCAAAACCCCTGCTTCGCCCACCTCTCTCACCAACGCCCGCGAAGACAACAACCACAGTGGCAACGACGAGGATGGCGACGAAATGGACGGCTTGGCCAAGAAGCTGGCTGCGCTCGACGCGAGCTTGGCCCCTGCGACTGCCAAAGTCCTCTCACGGGAGCTGGCAAGGCTCAAGCGCATGAGCCCGCAGCAGCCCGAGTACCACGTGATTCAAAATTACCTCGAGTTCATGCTCGACTTGCCGTGGACGTCGCCGCCGCCGCCCGCGCTCGACATGGCGACGGTCCAAGCGACGCTGGACGCCGATCACTACGGGATGACCAAGGCCAAGACGCGGCTCGTGGAATTCATGGCCGTGCGCCAGCTCCAGGACGCTGGCAAAGGCCTCATCCTTTGCCTCGTGGGGCCACCGGGCGTCGGCAAGACGTCGCTCGCGCAGTCGATGGCCACGGCCACCGGTCGTCCGCTAGCACGCCTCGCGCTCGGGGGGGTGGCCGACGAAACCGAAGTCCGCGGCCACCGCAAGACGTACGTCGGCGCGATGCCCGGGAGCCTTCTCTCGGCGCTGCGCCGGGCGCAGAGTGCCCATGCGCTCGTCGTCTTGGATGAAATCGACAAGCTCTCGTCGCGGACGGCGTCGACCTCGAGTGTGAGCCACGCGCTCTTGGAGGTGCTCGATCCGCACCAAAACCATGCGTTCACCGACCACTACGCCAACGTGCCTTTCGATCTCAGCCGCATTCTCTTTGTCGCGACCGCCAACTCGGTTGAAACGATTCCGCGACCGCTGCTCGACCGCATGGAGGTCCTGCATCTGGACGGCTACACGCTCGAGGAAAAAGTGGCGATCGCTACGACGTACATTTGGCCGCGGCAGCTCACACAGCACGGGCTCACCGACAAGGCCTTTGCGCTCGACGACGACGTGCTGTCGTTTGTGATTCAGAGCCACACGCGCGAAGCCGGTGTCCGCGACCTCGAGCGCAAGGTACTTCACATGTGCCATCTCATCTTGACATATCGTCGTCCTCTAGATGGGCGCCATTTGCCGCCACTTGGCCGTCCTCGTCGTGCAGCAACAGCCGCTTCCGTCGAGTCTCTCGATCGACTTTGTCTCGGGCATCTTGGGACCAGACACAGTGCATGACGAAGTCGCTCTCCGCACCGGCGTCCACGGTGTCGCCACCGGGCTTGCGTGGACACCGTCGGGCGGCGCGATTCTCTTTGTCGAAGCCACGGCCTTGCCACGAACCTCATCGTCTTCGTCTGCATCCAGCATTGGCTTGCAGCTCACGGGGGCGCTGGGCGACGTCATGAAGGAGTCGGCGCAGCTCGCGCTCACGTGGCTGCGCGTCTACCTCGAGTCCTCGACGGCATTGCGCTCGATTGGCGAGTTTCACATTCACTTCCCGCACGGTGCAACCCCCAAAGACGGTCCGTCGGCTGGCATTGCGATCGTCTCGGCGCTCGTTTCGGTAAAATCAACTTGATGGATGATGGTCAACCAGTTTGCTATCGTACTAGGTTGTGACAAAGCGGCTCGTGCCGGTGGACATGGCCATGACGGGCGAGATCACACTGCGCGGTGTCGTCTTGCCTGTCGGCGGAGTGCCCCAAAAGCTGCAGGCCGCCAAGCGAGCAGGCATTGCCCGCGTCCTCCTCCCCGCTGCCAATCGCGCGGACGGGGACGAGTGGGGCCCGAAGCTCGGGCTCGCAATCACGTACGTGAGCGACCTCGATGACGTGCTCGCGACGGTCTTTGGTCTTCCGCGCGCGACGGCGTTGAGCAGCCGTCTCTGAGTATCCATCCTTCTCTAACCCCAACCCCAACCGACACCCAAAAACATAATCGTATGTCGTTCGTACGACAATATGGGCACACAACTGCGTCTTGTTTCGTAAACAAATGGCTTACGCCAGCGCGAGCGGGCTGAACGAGTTGGAGACGTACGCAAAGTACTCTTGCGCGTTCGCCGCTTCTTCCACCGACGCAAACTGCGACGGCTGCAAATGCTCGTAGCGCTTCTCGAGCACCGTTCGCAGCTTCTTCTCCTTGCCCGCCTTGAGCTACAGCAAGACAATCGATATAAGACAATATTGTACACAACACACACAGCGTACGCGGTAGAGAATGGCGGTAAAGTTCACCGGAAGACCGTAGCGAAGGACGGCTTCGACGAACGTTCGGACGGCCTTGACATGCATCCATGCGATAAAGGTCTCGCCAAAGTGCGCCTTGCACCACCGAAGGAGACCGGTGTAGAGGCGGTTGACCTCGACCTCGAGCTCCGCGATCATCGTCTCGTTGGTCGCATGCGCCGTCGGGTCGTAGGTGAAGTCGCGCGCTTGGAACCGCTTCTCGCGCGCTGCCTGCTTGAACTTCTCGACGTAATCGAGGAGCGTGCCGGCCTCGAACGTGCCATCGTTGTCGAACGACCCGCTCTGGTACTGGCCCTTGAGGATCGTGACCGTGTACAAGGTCGAGTCGCCTTCTTCCACGAGCTTCCTGCAGTAACAGTTGAGACATTGATACTAAGACACAGAGGACGGTACCGCGACGAGCCGGGCACGACGGGCGAGCCCTTGAGGCTACCGCGCGACTGCTTCGGGCCGTACTCGGCAATGTCGTTGCCGATCGCCTCGTACTCGCGGAGCCAGACTTCCTCCTGGCTCTTGGGCACGACGACGACGAGCGTCTGGAGGTACTCGGTGTTGACAAAGTCCGTGGCCTTGACCACGTCCGGCGTCAAGACGTCCGTGAGGTTGGCGACGAGGAGGTTGCCGCTACAGACGCAGAGAGCGCCATCAGCCATTGATGAAGAGCGAGCGGCGTACCTCTTCTTCTTTTGGTGCAACGCGAGCTGCTGCTTCTTCTCCGTGTAGCGCGTGCTGAGCTGCTTGAGCTCGTCTTCAATCTTAGCAATCGACTAGACACATATATAATGAGCAAGCACAGTATCGTAGGGGGTAGTCGCACCGACTGGATGATCGAGACGATCTCCGACAACGGACGGCGATGCGGGTGCTTGGCCTCGTCCCACGAAAAATGGCTCAAGTAGCGCTCGACCGGGACTAGAAAGCGCCACGCTATGAGCCATGCATGCGGCCGAAGCGGTCAAGGTACCGCCGTCGACGGTCAACGCCTCGCCGCCCTTGTTGAGTTCGTGGAACTGGCGCTCAATCTTGCGCACAGCCGCTTCGACCGACATGTCGATGCGGTGCATGTCTTCGCCGAGCGTCTAGCATTGCATAAGGCTATGGCGCGCCATAGCGTTGACGTACCATGAGCGAGTCGAGCGTGCCCACGAGCAAGTCGGAGGGCAGATCAAAGCGGTGGCATTCTACGAAGCAAGAGTTGGTCCTTCGCCGCGCCACGCCGCGCCTACCAGCGAGGTCGTTCTTCGAGGAGCCGGTCTCGGCCTTGAGCTCGTTGAAGGTCGTGTCGGTCGAGCGGTTGCCTTCGTTGGGGACGGCGACGACCAAGTAACTCATCGTGCTGCTGCCTGCCTCTTCCTGCCCAATGCGGTTTGCCTCAGTCAAAGTCAGGGATACGCTTCTTATCCGGACAACGTCTTTTTATACCTCGCTATACAAAGTCCAAGGTAATTTATTTAAATATCGCCCATACATTGCCCATACAAAAAGACTGCCTTGAACATGGGGCGCTCGGCGGCGTCGCTTTTTGGCCAATCATAACGCGCGGCGTAAAACCAAGATCTTAGCGCATGGCACGCGGCCAGCAGTCCGCCGCCCGCGAACCCGCGATGATGGCCGACGAAGGTACGAGAACGAGGCGCGTGGCAGCGTCGACTGCAAGGGACACGGTCGGTTTGCAGGGCAGGAGGCGAAATGAGCTGTAACCTTTAGCGATCGGTCGGAGGCTGGGACATGCAAGCGCCTCGCGCGACGCACGACCGATCATCAGTTGGGATAAAGTCTCGTGAGAAGTGGGGTAGTGTTATAGGTTAGTAGTGTAGTAAAGTTAAAAATCCATGTCGTCTTCGACTTCCTTGCTCTTGAGCTTCTTGGCGGCCCGCTGCCCGTCCTCGATGGACGCCAGGTCACGGCTCGCCTTGGCGCGCAACGTGTCCATGTCGTCGGCGTCGTCGGCCCACTCGAGTACCAAGTGGCGGCCATACAAGTGCGACGACGCCAAGGACGCAAACGCGCTCTTGGCCTCGGCTTCCGTGAGAAACTCGATAAAGGCAAACCCTAACAATCATCTCAATCTCCAAACCACATTTGCACATCGAGTTCGTACCGCGGTGCTTGCCGTCAAACTTCTTGGGCATGCGCACGGTCTTGAGCTGACCAAAGGCACCAAAGAGCTCGCGAATGTCCTTGATCGTCGCTTCGAACGCAATGTTGCGGCAAATGACCTTGGTGCTCGGCTTCTTGCTGGGGCCGGTCGCCTTCTTGACGGGCGCGAGCTGCTTCTTGGAGAGCTTGATGTCGATCGCGTGGCCGTCGAGCAGCGTGCCGTGGAGGCCAGCCATCGCCTTCTTGGCGGCGGCCGCGGTGCTATACTCGACAAAGCCAAAGCCCATCGAGAGCGTCGGCTTTTGCGTCTTCGGGTCCTTCTTGCGAGCAATTGTCGCCTTGCGCACCGTGCCCATCTGCGAGATTGCACATATGGCAAGTGCAATCTCAATACGAAACGCAAAATTACCTTTTCAAACAGAGTCTGGAGGCTCTTCTCCGAAGTGCTAAAGTTGAGGTTCTTGACACACAGCGTGTTGTCGAGCTCGGCCACATTGTCGGCTTCGACATCGGGCAGCGCGGGGGCCGCCGCTTGTGCTTGCGCCTACACCCCACTTTGAGGAATCGAGCTCCGAGCGCGTATCATTTGTACCTTGATCTTCTCGGCATAGTTCATCGTCGCCGCGCCCTTGAAGACTTTGACCGGCGCCCATTCCAAGTAGAGCGGCATGGTCTGAAACTTCTTGTAGGCGAGCGACCGGAACGCCTTGCGGGCTTCGGACGCTTCGACAAACTACATGCACACAATTGAGTTGCGTTGGAATGTCATCATGATGTACCTCGATGAGCGCCATGGTCTTGGATGGCGGCAGCACAAAGCGGCTGAGCTCACCGTACGTGCGGAAGAGCTGCGCGAGTGCCGTCTCGTCGGTCGTGAACGGCAGGTTCTTGACAAGCAACACCGTGTTGCTACGCTCGATGGACGGTCCTTTCTTGCCCTTGGCGGCCGCCGCACCTTCAATGACGCGGAGGTCGACGCCCTCTTGCTCGAAGAACGCTTGGTTCTCCTGCAGCAGCATCGTCTCACCAATGGCGAGGCGCACGGCCATGTTGCCAGCGTCCTTGTCGAGAATCTCGCCCTTCTTGACGTTCAAGCGCGATGCGAGCGCGTCGACGGTCGCGTCACCGCGGATGAACGACGCGTTCCAGCCGACCTTGGACGCCGCGAGCTGCTTGCGCTCGATCTCCTTCTTCTGCTTGTACGTGAGGTTGGCCGTATCGACAAGCGCCTCGGGCTCGAGCTTGCCCTTGGCCGGGAGGATGTGCAAGAGGCGGCCTTGAAACGCCTTGCCGTCCAAAGCCGTGCGCGCGGCTGTAGCTTCGGCTTGCGACGCAAACATGATGAAGCCAAAGCCTTTTGTTCGCTTGCTGTCGTCGAGCGGCATGTGCAGCTCCGTGATCGTGCCGTAGCCCGCAAAGAGCTCTTGCAAGTCTTCTTCGACCGCCGAGTACGGCAGGTTGCGCACAAAGAGCCGCGACGACGGCGCGACGTCACTTGACGCTTCGGACGGCTTGGCCGACGACGAGGACGCCGACTTGGATGTCTTTTTCGTCGTCTTGTCGTCGTCTTCGTCATTCAGGTCTTCACTGTCGCCGTCATTGTCACTGTCGCCGTCATTGTCACTGCCATCATTGTCACTGTCGTCCTCGTCCTCGTCGTCTTCGTCATCACTCGCGATGGTCTTGACCATCTTGGACTTGAGAAAGTCGAGATCCGAGATGGGCTTCTTCGTCGGCGCAATCGACTTGTCAAAGTCGTCTTCATTGTCCTCGCCGTCGCTGTCCTCGTCCGCGTTCATCTTGTCGTGGATCTTGCTCAGGTCTTGGTACTCGTCGTCCGAGCCGCCATCGTCCGAGCCTTCGGCGATCTTGTCGAGGCTCTCGGCCCCGCCCGCGGCCATGACGTCGTCGTTGGCCCAGAACTTGGTCTGCGATCGCGGCTGCATCGTCTCGACAAACTCATCGAACGCGCTGTCCTCGCCTGTCGTCTTCTTGCCCTTCTTTTTCCGCGTCTCATTTGCATTCTTGGGTTCCTCTGGCAGCGTCGCGTCTTCCGGCGCCTTGGTCTCTTCGGCGTGGCGCGAGCTGCCCTTCGAGTACTTGCTCCACGGCCGGTCCAGCTCACTCGACTCGCGCGGCTGCGCAATCTTGACAGTGATCCGCGTCGTGTCGAAGAACGTCTTGTCAAAAAAAGCCTGCGCCTTCACGGTCTGCGCCTCAGTCTTGTAGCCGACAAAGCCAAAGCGGCGCGACTTGCCGTCCTTGGTCTTGACGACGCACGCGTCCGTGACTTCGCCGTTGGCCGCAAAGTGCTTCCGGAGCTTCTCATCGTCCACATAGATGGGCAGGTTCTGCACGAAGAGGCGGGTGCTCATGCTCGCTGTGTCTGATGGCCAATGCTACAAAAGTGCAGCAACCAATCACATGGCGCCAATGGCCAACCAATTCAACCAATTGAAGCAGCACGCAAAGAGCCAATCCGATGGCAGCACATATTATATATGGCATGTGCCGATTCCTAGATAGGGCGGAGTGTCGGTTAGTTGTGACACCGGCTACGATTACCGGTTCGTAACACCAGGTACGGTTTTGCGGTTCGTGACACCGGTTACGTTTTTGCGGTTCGTGACACCGGTTACGTTTTTTCGGCTCGTGACACCGGTTACGTTTTCGGTTCGTTGGTGAACTGCATAACGTTTTGCCCGCCAAGCAGAGGATTATCAACACCTGCGGTGCTTCCGACCATCATTTCGCAGCCTTGTCAACTCCATCGCTCACTACAAGCCCCTGCGCTCCAAGCACTTGACGGAGACTAGGACTTTTATGCTGGCTACAGCGGTATAGTCGTCAAGGCGTCGGCGCCGGCAGTGGGTCGTTCGCAGCCACCGGCAGGTCGTCCGTGGTTGGTGGCAGATCGTCCGTGACGGGCGCGGGTGGCTCTACGTCCATGGCTGAACGATTTGGAGCGTCGCCGCGCCGCGCGTCGGCTTTGTCTCCCCCATCGTGACCTTGGGCCCGTGGTCACCCTCAAAATACGAGGTCGAAGTCGAACGCGATCGAAGAAAACGCGTCGCCGAGTCCCATCTCAACTGACTGGGCTGGCTAATATCCGGCCAGATGCCGGATAAAATAAGGCAAAAGTGATTCCCAAAGTGAGGTGGAACTCGAAAAATCCGACCAGCCTCTCTTGCTTTTAGTTCACGCATCGACGGTCAAACGCAGTCGATCAAAGTTACGTCAAGCATAGTAGTCGCTCGGCAACAGCGCGTTGGACGCCGAGGAAATGCGCTCGCTGCCGTCGGCGCGAACAGTAGGATTTTGGTGACCCTCAACGCTGTGCAGAGCTTCCCGACCAAAGATGATGCCGAGCCATGTTGAGGCAACAAGACAACGACTCGTCTTGACATCCTCTCAAGAAACAAAAGCTCGTAATGCTTAGTGTATGCAAACTCTGCTAATCAACAATAGTGTCGTCCTGACGATGCTGATGCGGCCTATCGAGGTCTTGGCGATACTTCCTCTACGTGGTATGCTCTGCCTTTTCAATGGCTCGCACCACTCAGCAAATGCGGTGGAGGGGTAGGACAAAGGCCGGGTCCAAGAGGCTCTTGGATTCGGGCGTGGCTGTGAAATGCCGCCAGCTCTTGATGTCAAACACATGTATAACGCCGCGCACTCGCCATGTAAACAAGCCCGTCAACGCGGCTGACATGCGGTCCAAGTAGACGTCGCCGTCTACTGTCCAGTTGGCCATTTCCAACGAGTAGACACTCGTCGCATTGAGCAAGAGTGACGGTTTGGGTGGCGCCAAAAGATGCGGATGCCGTAGTCGCTCGACACAAGCCGCCAAAAAGACACAGCTGAGACAGAGGCCGACGTCAACGCCGACGCGGCGCCAAAGGCCGAGCTCGATGTAGCCACTTTTGCAGCTCAGAGCCACATCCATGTCAATGTAGTTGCAGCTCCGGCGCACGTAGGTCGTGTACTCTCGGGGGTCCTTGAACGACCAGGCTGCTGCGAATAAGCACGCTGCGACCGAGCTCTTCCAGGCGTAGAGTTGTGTGTACTGCCGCGTAACACAGCTGAAGAGGTCGTTGGCGATGTAGACCAGCCATGTGAGCTCGGACGAAGCGAGGAGCGTCGGGAACCACCCAAGCGGCGACACTTGAAAGCGAGCACCGACGCCAAATGCCAGTAGCTGTAGGGGCGGTGTGTTGAGCAGCCAAAGCGCCGTGATTCCTCGGATGATGAGCAGCGTTCGGCCAATCCACGCGTGGCCAAGGAGTCGGTTCACCGCGAAGAGGTTCATGCCTTCAATGCAGCCGTGGCAAACAAAGATGGCGTAGTAGGCAGCAACCCCCGCACCCACCATGATGGCACCAGTGACGTACCGGACGCACTGCTGACAGCTGTACGAGAGTCGCGTTGGGATCGCTGCCTCGGTGAGAGAGAGCGTTGCGAGGGGCGTGTAGCGAGATATCGATGTGACGGTGCCGCCGTCACCTTGGAACGAGACAACTTCCCGCTGACCGACGACCCACTCGGCCAAATAGTTCCAACCAAAGAACGTCCAGGAGCGGACGGTCAGATCCAGAATATTGATTCGGTACAGTTCGATAATGCCGCTGCGGTTGATGTACTGGGTCATCTCGATATAGAGAGATCGGGTGTCGACCTCGGCGGCGACAGCCAACGCTTGGAGCGTTGTTGAACCTGAAAAATAGGTCCTCGCGTAGGTGTATGACGCGCTGTAGATGGCCTCGCAGTTGGGCTCGGCGTAGACATCACTCGCACAGAAGGCTCCCAAATCGATAGTTGGCTCGATGCGATGCACTGCATCAAACGCAGCAAGTGCAAAGACGAGACCGGTCGTGGACGGGGTGAAAAAGTCCAGGTACCGCGAGCCGCATACCGCGTCCAAGCCAAATAATGCAAACAGGGCGTTGGAAGGCGGAGATCCCGGAAGGACGCTGCCGCACATGAGGTCACCCCCCACAAGGCGCAGACTGGCGTCGTTCAGTAAATGCTTGGGCACTTGACCGATGTATGTCTTGGCAGGCAGATGGAGAAATTGCCTCTGTGCTTCAAGGTTGGTGCTGGTCACAGTCGCGATCGCTTGCAGGACGTAGCGGTAGAGTGCGAGAAGCGACGTCGGACAGCTTACGAACACCATGTCGACAGCGCCAAATGGCCCCAACGAGCTATTATACAGCGCCAAACCAGCGTTGAGCGGCGACGAGAGCGTCAGATTCTCGAAGAGCAAACTCGCGCGTGTCGCGTTGGCAAAGGCAAAGTGGGGACTGTTGCGCAAGAGCGACAAGCCGCCGACGCTGGTCGCGTTATTGCTCACGGCCCAGAGGTCACTCGCGAGTCCCCAGTACATGCGATGCGACGTCTGGTAGTCGAGATGTACGGCGCCGCGGCGCTCACTGATAGGCAGCGTGTACGAGAGCCCAAACGGCGTCGAAATGACCATCGCGTCACTGAGACCCGTGTCTTTGAAGTTTTGCCACTGCAGCAAGAACACCGAGAGGCCATGGTTCACCCAGTATGCGACTTCTTCTGACACGGACAAGGTATTTGCTTGGACACGCTGGAGCCACTGACGACCTACTACGGACGCTGCCAGGTCGTTGCCGATGCCAATGTCGAACGAGGTACCCCAGCACGATCGCCATAAAGTCCAGTCTCGTACATTGCGCAGACTCGTCTCGAGATACCGGGCACCGTTGTGCTGACTGAGAGCTGCACACCGAACCTGTCGCTGGCTCGTGCTGGCCATCTCCCATTTCTGATCCAGGTCCAGCCAGCAGTACTGCGTAAACATCCACGGTAGTTGACACGGATGTAGGGCCCGGAGACCTGCCACCAGCTCGTGCAACGGCGTCGATGCATTGAAGAGGTACCGGCGCGCCACCGAGGGATACCACGCGACAGTGGTGGCCGACGTGTTGTACGACTGCAGTGGATCCCCGAACGCTGGGTCGTGCAGTGCAATTGAAGCGTCGGTGGACATGAGAAGCTGGCGGTTGAAAGTGTTGGCGAGGAAGGCGTGCATCCCAGTAGCGTTGAAGCCGGCCCAGCCATAGTCGTTGGCCAGCGCCGTCTCCAGGACGTTCAAGTACGCAGCGTTACTCCAGAGAGTGATGCCTATGTAGCCCATCCCCATAAGGCCAAGGAGGCGCTGCGCCGAGCGCATACCAAGCAAAGTCGGCCTGTCCAAAGTTGCGTTGGTCGGCTTGGTGGGCAGGGTTGGTGCGCTGAACGGCAGTATGGGCGACGGCTTGTCCGCGACAGGTTCCAGTTCATCAAGGTGGAGCCAGAGCCAGACCTTGAGATCAAACAAGTACTGCGTACCGTGCCATCGCAGCGGCACGATGCCGCACATGATAGCGTCAATCCCCAAAATGGGTCGCGTCGTCTGAGAGGCTGTCAGCGTCGACGGAGCCCTCGGTGGAAAGATCGCGCTCAGGTGTTTTCGGAATGTGTTAGGAGAGACACGGTGCCGCCAACGAGAAGATACCAGCGAGGCTGCCACCACCGAGCCAACGATGCTTAGAAGAAGTACACATCGATCCAGGTGGCCGACACGAACTGTTCCGCTGGAACAATACGTCATATAGTCCATATTGACAGCATAGCACTGACGATGCAGCGTCACCGAAAGATCAAGTGGGGAGCATTGGTCCAAGAGTACGATGACGAGCCAGACGACGCACGCCATTGGAAGTTGTCGCCACGTAGCGAGCGGTAGGAGCATGTCGTGAATCACGTGCACAAGCCAGAGAGACTCGAGAGCCAAGATACTCGAGAGCAGAAACGACCGCCGCGCTGCCAGGAGCCGGTTCAGTCCACTGGGTGTTGTCGTTGTATCGAGGGGGACTGTGGCGAGGCACAAGATGGCCGCTGCGCTGCGGAGGAGCAGAATGTTCCAATTGACATAGACCGACGCGACTAACGGCGTAAAGCTCGTCCACGCGGGCTCGACCTTGCCGCTGCAGCAGCGAAGCAGTAGCACCACAAGAGCTACCATGGCTAGAGTACTTGTGGTGATCGAGGCCGAGAGCCAGAGGTAGGGTCCGAACGCAGCCGGTGGCACGATCGGGTCCGAGACCATCGGAGCGTACAGGCCAGAGAGGAGCGTGTACGAAGTCACGTCGCCTCGAAACGAGACGACCTCGCGCAAGTTGAGCGCCCAGTCGTAGAGATAGGAGGCACCGAGAAATGAAAAGTCAGGTGCGAGGAGCAGCTGCTGGTCGATCGTGAGGGCTGTCTGGTTGGTGTACAAGATCTGGAGAAATCCCATGTCCAGCGATATAAGATCTGATAGCAACGCCGGGTTGAGCGGGGGTAGAGACAATGCACCATATAGCAAGCTGGCTTTGGCGAAAAGTCGCTGACAGGCCACAGAGTCGGTCGGAAACGAAGCGCAGACATCGCTCGTTGACACGGAGCCGCCGAGAAGCCAGAGAGCAAAGATAGCGTTGAAGGTGTGCCACTCGAGCGTCAACGGTCTATGGCTGCTGCAGTCGTCATCGAATCGAAACGTTTGCTGGACGAAGCTCTGCGGTCGTCCCAGAGTGCACATGGGATTGCCCGAGACAAAGCCGAGCTCGCGATGTCTCCAACGCCGAGGCGTCACCAATAGCGTCTCGCGGGACATGTCGACCGTTGGCAGCGCCGTCACAAGCGCTGGGATGAGAGCTGCGTCGAACGCTACGACCGCTGCGAGAAGGCGCGGTGGCGGCGGTACCCACTTGGCGTCAATGCTACCGAAAGGGCCAAGGTTGTCGTGGATGGCCTGTTGCACTGGTTGGAGTGGACGCCTGACCGCATAAGATTCAATTTGGTGCGGGTCAATGTCGCCAAAGTAGTTCAAAGTGCCCCGGACGAGACTCTGGTTGGACCCAATCGCGTACAAATCACTATAGAGTTGGTCGTACAGCACGCATGTCGTCCGTAGAGTCCATCGATCTTTGGTCGACGTCGTCTTGAGCGGCAACGACAATCTCTGACCGAGTGCGGTCTCGACCCAGATCAACTCGGATACGCCGATGCTGATGCCGGTGCCGTACTGCAGCGTGTAATGGTTAAGACCGTACGACACCCAGAGCGCCACTTCGTCTGCCTCGGGCGTCCACACATGCGTCTCTAGAGACGAGAGCCACGCGGCGCCTGCAGATCCGCTTCGTGCAATGGGATGCGCTATCGCCGACAGAAAGAGACCTTGGGTCGCGTCCAGAAAGCCGCTGAAATCAATGTTGCGAAGCACCGTCTCGAGGTGCACAGCGCCGTTTGTGGCTTCATACTGTGAGCATCGCGCTTGGCGCTTGGTAGTGTAAGCGAGCTCGTACGTCTTGTTGAGGTCGGCCCAGCAGTAGGGCGAAACCATCTTGACGACCTGCGTGGCGTCAAGGTGGCGCAGACCTCGCACGCCATCGAGGAGACGTGTGAGCTCTTGGTACATGATGAGGCGCGGATACGCTGGGCTCGTGCCTTGAAGTGACGGTACGAAGGCTGCTTGAGGTGCGAGGACGTCGATGGCGGCGGACCTTGAGAGAGCGAGGTGGTGGTTGAGGATGGCGACAAGGATAGGTGCTGCTGCGCTAAAGTTGGGCACGAAATAGTCGGTCTCGAGGTACGAGGCAAAGATAACGAGGGCGTAGGTGCTGAGACCAATCGAGGCCACGACAGAGAGCATGCCGCGGAGCTCGACGAGGCGGTGGTTACGCAAGTGGCGAAGCACGTGCGGGGCTGAAGGGCGGGAAATGACAGGACCCGTGGCCACGGACGGGCGAACGTGAATCTGCATTAGCGCCGATGCGACGAGGTGACCTGCGGTTGAAACACTAGTGCAAGCTGAGCTGACGAAACGGTAACGACGCCGTGCCAGTTACAGGTTTGTCGCTTAATGTTTCAAGTTGACGGTGGTGGCATGACGCCGCGCGTGGTGAGTAACCTTTGTCAAGGGTGCACCAAGTGTTGACGCAGCGCTCGTGCGTTGCGGTCAGCGCAAGACCATGAGCTGAGACCATATAAGCTAAGACCATGCTATGCACAACACGGCTGCTCAGTATATTATGGCTACGCGTCGTCTGATACCTGCATCACTGGAAGAGACTCAGCACTTGGGTACGCAAATGGGGCTCATGTGTTGTTTGCTTACAAAGACTCTGTCCAGCTACTGTTTTTTGGCGAGAAAGAGGCTGAGCTGGTCCACCAACTGCATGCGGTCGGCGGAACTCGCTCGCGTGATGGCGAACGCTTCGAGCTGCAGGCAGCGAGTACCGATAATGATTTGCGACGCCGGCTTGCGGCAGAGCTCGTAGATGATCTCGACAGTGCCCACAATCAGCAGCGCGGCGCCAACGCTCAAGCCGCCGCCAGGATAGTAGGAATCATGTTGTCATAACGAAGAAGCGGTATGCCAATGATTGAGACAACATGACGATGAACTGAAGGAGCTTGACGAACCAACTCTGGATCGTACCGGACGACTCGCACGACGGTGGCAGCGGGCAAAAGCTGAAACGTGTAAAATCGATAGGTGGACCCTCTTTACTGTATTTGCTATTTGTATACCGAGCGTGGAAGATGTGAACTGAACCAACGATCCGAGAAGCCCTCGATGATTTTCTCTTCGCATTGAAATCATGCATTGAAATCGCCCATTCTAGCTGGAGAAATCGCCGTCGCTAAATGTGGCACATCACTGTTTATTCGTGGCATGTGCCGCAATCTATTTTGACAACGCATAATTATCGCTGCATGCCTCGTACGCCGAAGTGGAGTAGCATTTCATGACCCCCAAAGAGTACTCTCTTACTCTGCCAAGTTGGAGCGTTTTCATTTTCCAACTCGATTTGGCGCACAGAGCGGCTCGGCGAGCTGGCATGGTGGTTTATAATCGCGTGTGATTGGTCTAAAATCCAAAAACAATAGCCAATGGAATGCGTGAAGCGCCAAACCGGCACGGCCGATACTCTCGGAGGACGAGTTCACAGCGGCCTGATGATCCAAATCAAGTGGGGCCGGTCGTGAAGATTGAGCTTCGGGTTTCTCGTTTCTCACTCAGGTATAGGTGTTCTGACAAACAACAGTAGCAGCCGGGCTACTCGAGCACTGGACAGAGGGAAGAAGAGGGAGACTGACAAAAGAGCGCGTCAGGAGCCCAAAACGACCCGACCCGTAGGTCTGGAATTCCAGATGTATGAGTAGCTCAGCGCGCTCGAATACAGCGTAGATGCGAGGGAGTAGACACCCCAAGCATCCAGCTGTCCAGCATCATTTGATTGTCCTGAGATCTTCTGCGTCGACTAGTCACCAGCTTCGTTTGGATTGGCCGAGACCAACCAATCCGTGTAGCCCAATCGAATGGCTAATTCCACACACATTGGGCTGGCGCCAAGAGCGATGCAACGCTGTCCCTGGACCTTTCGGGCTTTCAGATAGGCCCTAGCGGTCTCACTTGATCCACGCGGCTGCAGATTATTCGCGTTGTTGGTGCGTCAGGCCTACATTTCTGTGTTTTTTGTTCTCGTGGTTGGCGGCAGCGTGAAACAAGCATGTTATTATTACGAGTGTGTTAAAAAGCGCTCGGAATGGCTTGATTGCATTTTTGGGTGGAACGGTTGGGCAAAATGGGGTACTACAGCGTCGGCGCGCTCATCGCGGAGGAAGAGCGGGTCCAATGCGTCTTCCAGACAGATGCAACCGACTGCGGCTTCCTCGACCCATCGAGCCTCGGGAAGGACCTCGCGATGAACACGAAGCTCGAGCTGCCGCTGTGGATGGCGTCGGCGCTCGCCCGCCACAACACGGTCAAGGTACCCGACCACTCCATGTGCGGGCGCTCGAAGTCGCATCATGCGCTGTAGACGCTCGTGCCCACGTGCCTCAACAGCCGCTTCCGCAACGTCGTCAAGGCCGGGCCGTCGGCCGCCAACCTCCGGGACATGAACCCGTATTACTTTGAGGTCGGGAAGCAAGTGCTGCCGCTCATCGAGGACGAGGACGAAGGCCGCGCGATTGACGAGATTCTGCGCGTCGCATTTGGCGGAGAGCGCTACAAGGCGATCCTCGACCAGTCGATGAACTCGCACGACGAAGACACGACCGAGTTTACGCGCAAGCTCACCGAGTTCGAGAAGGACCTCTTCCTCGCGGGCGTCGACGACGCCGAGGACTTTTTGCGCTGGAAAGGCCGCGAGAACGGACTCATCGCATGCGCCAAGGTTATCCAAATGAAGAAACGCAAGCGCGACCAGTAGGCTAATACACAGGCATGCTGATCTCTCTCGGAACCGCCTCATATTCACGGCTACCACCCGTCGTCCTGCAATGACGCTGCCTACGTAGCGACGATTCTTCCTATTCACTCGCTCGTCCGACCACGGCGGTGTGGGGACGTAACTTGCAGCCCCGCCTTGGCTCGGCCGTGAGCTGCTCCAGGCGTCGAGCATGGGGCTCGGTTGCGCAGTTTCCAGGGGTCCTCGAGAATCAACGGCCATCGGCCCCACCGACCGCCATCTCGACTTGAAGACTGCTAGCGTTGGCAAGTGGTTTCGCTCCGTCAATGTCTCAGATTCGGCTCAGTTGCGGCCACGTCTCCTGCACGAAGCGTCGTCGTGCACCCTCTTGTCAAACTGGTGCTGGATCGATGGCACCAGTCGGATAGCTCGTCTGTATAGAGCCCATCTAGCCCGCATATAAGGCTTGCTGGAGGTGAGCCCAGCCTGGTATTCACTGCGAAGGTAGGGCAAAGCTGATCTTTGACAACAAGCAATTCAGGTGTCGTCGATAGAGGATGAAGGAGTATTTACGTAGCGACTACGAGCGTCGAGATCAACGGAACTGCGTCTTGAGCACCATGTAGACACCGTCGACCGGGTCTTCCTCCTTGTCGCAGATCGTCCGCAGAATATCGCGCAGCAGCGCCTTGTCTTCGTTCGTGATCAAAAACTTTTTGAGGCGCTTGATCAAATCGCGCGTCTTCATGCGCCCGCCAAAGCGAATGAGCTCTTCCTGAACACCCGCCTCGGTCAGCTTGAGCTGCGTCGACGTCTTGGACTTCTTGTTGCTCGAGTCGTCGGCCTTGTCGTCCAGCGCACGCTTACCAGGTGCGGGCTTGGCCACGGCCGCCGGCTTGGTTTCGACCGGCGCTGCCGCCGCATCCGCCGTGCCTTCCGCGGGCTTGTTGGTGATGAGGCTGCCATAGTCGTCGTAGTCGTACTTCTGCGCACCGCCCGACTCCTTGTCGTCATCGTCGTCCGACTCCTTGTCGCCATTCTCGACCGCACCATCCTTCTTGCTCGCCTCCTGCGTGCGCTTGAGGAGCTCGTCGAGGGACACGGCGGCCTTCTTGTCCTTGCTGCCGTCCTCCATCTCGTCATCGCTCGACTCGGACTCTGCCGCGACGCCCTTGTTGCCACCTTCAATCTCGTGCCCGCTCTCGTCGTCGTCAAACACTTCGTCAAAGTCACCGCCATCGTCACCGGTCGGGTCGCCTTCGGCCGCCGTCTTGCGCGGTCGGCGGCGTCCGCCCTTGGTCTCGGCCACGGTAAAGATGTCGTCCGACTTGGCGGCAGCCGCGCCCCCGGCCGACTTGAGCGCGCCCGTCTTGATGCTCGACGTCGGCACGACCTCCGTGTCGTTCTTCTTCTCGCCGGCGAGGTTGTGGTTCATGAGCCAGCGCTCGACAGCGCGCTTCTTCTCGTTGTTGAACTCCTCGGCCTCTTCGAGCGTCAGCGTGCGGTAGTTGAGCGGCTTCTTGAAGCGGAACCACTGTTCGACCGGAACGACCTGGAACTCGTTCTTGTGCGGCGTCTTGACCATGAGCATGTACGTCGATGTGACGCCACCCTCGACGGTCCCCGTAAACTTGGTCTTGCTCTCGTTGTCTTCGATGATCCAGTTTTTGATGCGGTTGTCCTTCCGGCGACGACGGCGGCGCTTCCGGAGCGCCGGGTTCCAGCCCACGGGCTCCTTGTCCTTCTCTTCGTCCTCTTCCGGCACCTTCTCGGGCTCCTCGTACATGACCACGGGCTGCGGGCACTTGCTAAAGTTGGGCAGCGTCGGCTCGTTGAAGCGGCCGACGTTGTACTTCTTGATCGACGGGATCAGGCGCAGCGTGTATTCTTCCTCAAAGTCATCTTCCTTGGGCGCACCGAGCGCCGTCATGGGCGGAGGAAGGCCACGCCCGGCGCCAGCACCGCCAAGGCGGCCACGCCCACCGGTGTCACGACGGCCCAGCGGGATCATGCTCTTCGTCTGGCTTGGGCTCGGCTTCGCAAAACGAACACTGGCCTTGTCTGTGGTTTGCCAAAATGGCGTCCGGTTAATTGATTATCTGCCAATCATGCCACGTACACGTCCGGACAACCATTCTCATTCGTTTTGATTGGCCATAAGTCGGCGGTGGATCCTTTTTTACACCAATGGCATCCAGTTCCACTAGCAGCCCCATGTCGGCCCTCCTCGGCGCCGAGTACAGCGACAGCAGCAGCAGCGACGACGAAGCCGCGCCAACGACGGCGCCCCGTGCGGTGGCCAAGCAATCTGGCATCGCGCTGCCGTCGGTCGACGATGTCTTTGCGACCACACAGCGCCCGACCTTTCTGGACAAGCCCGTCGCCGCTACGATGAACGTCTTTGACGTCGAGGAGAAGCCCGTCGCCGCTACGATGAACGTCTTTGACGTCGAGGAGAAGCGCGTCGCCGGCAACGACGACGACGACGCAGACGACGACCGCGATGCAGCAGCGCCACTGTCCAACCAACCTACGTCGCCGAAAGGCCGTATTGTCAACAGCATCGAAGAGTTTCCAGGGCTCTCGTCGCCGACACGGAGCATGCCCAAGAAGCGGACGCGCGGCCAGCCAGCGACCGCCGCCCCATCCAAGCGCAAGGCCGACGACAAACCATCGGGCAAAGACCGTGTCAAGGCGCAGCGGCTAAAGGGTCAGTCGGGGATTGGCAGCGACTTTCGCGGCTGGAAGTCGGAGACCGAGATGCAATTGCGGCAGCAATACGATTAAGAAAAAAAGTATCAAGTTGAAACTCGCGAGCAAAAGTAAATCCTAGAGCGATTCGAGCGTCTCGTTGATGTCGAGGGCCGTGAGCTTGGCGATGTTGTCATCGCAGTACTCTGGGAACGACGTCGTCTCGAGCGCCGCCAGCTTCTCTTCCAAGTACTTGGCCTGGCTCGCCATGCGGTCCTTGTCCTTTTGCTTGAGGTTGAGCATCATTTGGTCCGCGAGCGCCTCTTCATCCAGCGCCGTCTCGACCAACATGGCCGTCTCGTCAAGCAGAAGCGGGTCCGAGTGCGCCGGTTGGTTGCCTGCCGACGACGACGATGACGACGCAGGTACCTTCTTGACCTGCTGCTCGCGGACTTGCATCCACAAGGTCCACATCTCGTCAATGGACCGCGGCGCTTGCTCGAGGAGCCAGCCCATTTGCCGACGGGTCGTGTCCAACACCTAACACCACATACATCGACTTCATTGCTCTCGCAACACCAAGACGTACGGGGTTGAAGCCCATCTGCGTGGCGCCCGACCGGAGCCAGTGCAAGTCGAGCACCATGAACGACATCGAGAAGAGCTTCTCGAACGCATGCTCTTCGTCAAAGACCTTCCAGAACGGCGTACGCGACACGCGCTCGGCCACTTGCATCTGCAGCACCGTGTCGACGCCCGTCTCGGCGTGCAGGATGAGCTTTGAGCTGCTCGCGGGCACTTGGTCGAGCATGAGGAGCTTGATGAGCATGCGCATGACGTTGATGGCCGCGACAGGAAACGGATACCGGCTCCCGCCCGGCTGCGCATTGCGCGTCATCATGTTCTACTCCCCATTACATTGTCCGAATGCAAAGTGGACACATTGTCGTACCTGCGCCTTTTCCTTGTACTCGTGGACAAAGAACGCGAGGCACTCGAGCGAGAGCAAGCCGCCGCCGCGGAAGCCGCCGAGCGGGTCCTTGGTGTGGAACCCGCTTGCGAGCCAGCGCGACGAATGCAATAGCGCGGTCACATCCACTGACTCGGCCTTCTCGAGCGCGAGGTTGGCATTATAGTCGGAAGCAGTCTCGTCAAGCGGGAGGAGACCGCTCCAGAGCGTCCGGAGGAGCGACACGTGGTACGGCTTGGTGACGTCAATGCGCTCGGCGAGGCGCAGCCGAACCTTCTCCATGTGGCCGACCTTGACCTCAAGCGCCGCGCGATGCGTCGCCATCTCGTCGCGAATGTCGCGCAAAATGGCGTCTTGGTGCGTGATGAGAAGCTCGAGCACGAGTGCGCCGTCTTCGGCCTGCTGCTTGAGCTTGCGCAGCGCCTGGACTTCGGACGCCATGCGCTCGGCCTCTTCGCTCGGGTACTCGCTGTAGAGCTACACCCATCGTCTGTCAAACACCGGCATGTAGGACGTATCGCGTACATTGGAAGGAAACCGATGCTTGATAGGGATGTGCCCAGCAAGCGGGAAGCGCCGGAACGCTGGTTCGTCGAGCTCGGAGAAGCGAAAGCTGCGTGTCGGACGAAGCAAGATGGGCGCTAAGAGCAGCGACAACGTGTGCAGTTCGAGCCCGCTCTTGTGTTGAAACTCGGGCGTGAACGCACGGGCAAAGAGGTGCAGAAGACGCTCGAGAAGCGGCTTGACGTACCACGGGAGGTCGTTCACGAGGGCGCGGAGGCTCTTGACCTGCGTCACTTCATCCATGGCCATGTTCTTGCCAATGGAAACGAAAGCATCGAGGCGGTCTTCGGTCAAGAGTGCTTCCGGGAGCTCCCAGAGGTACTGCAGCAGCACCGAGATGACCTCGTGCGGATCGATCGCCATGCTCTTGTGGAAGCCACCGAGCTCTTCGATCGCGTCGCGCAGGTCGAGGACGTGCTCGGACGCCAAGTGGACTTGAAAGAGCCCCGGCGTCGCCAGCTTGCGGTGCAGGTAGCACACACACGCTTCGACGACATCGGGGAGCCCGAGCGCCGTGTCGAAGCGCGCCAAGCCACAGAGGAATGGGTTGCAGACCACTTCGAGGAGCGGTGCGCCAAAGACGTCGTACTCGGGTAAGCCAATCTCGAGAAAGCGCAGCACGGCCGACGTCGCATCGTCCAATGCTTGGCTCGTCTTGGCCCGCTTGAGGACGTCGGCGAGCGGGTTGCCGTTGTTGGACGTGTCAAACTTGGCGTTGAGCTGCCGATGCGACATGAGCTTACTCGCAAGGAGGTTGCACTCGTAGTCTTCGCCCGAGAGCCGGACGCGGCCCTGGATCATGTCTTCGGGGTCGATGAGCTCGGCTGGCGGCGCCTCGGCGATCTGCGGCACAGGCTTTGGCAGCGGCGTGTTGAAGGGCTGAATGTCCGGCGACAAGTCGAGACGCATGTCGTTGACCATAAACCCGAACGAGAGCGTATCGAGGCCGTCGAGAAGCGACAAGAACGTAGCGATTTCTTCCTACGCCGCATTCCCCCATTGAGCTATCAACTTGAAACGTTGATAATACCTTTTGGCGAAAGAGCGCGTACTCGGTAAAGTAGGACATGAGGAGGTCGTCGTTGGCCTCGTTGAGCGTCACGCGCATGCACTCGAGAAAGATGTGCGTGTTGAGCGCTTGGCGAATGAACGCGCGCGCCTTCCCTTCGTCTTGCTGGACGTTGGAGAGATTGTTGGCCGTGCGGACGCATGCGAGAAAGCCGCGGACATTGCGCGGCAGCTCGGGCTCGAGCGACGACGTCGCAAGCTGGACCGCTTGCTTGGAGAGGTTGGCGCTGCCGGCACCGTCGACGCCATGGGCCATGCGCTGCTGGTGAATCGCGCCGAGCCGCGTGCACGTCCATTTCAGGAGGCCGAAGAACTTGACGCTTTGCGTCTCGTCGTTCTCGACGCGGCGGAGGCCATGAGAGAAACACCGGTCGAGGTTCGCGCAGAGTTTCGAGACAGCGGGGATGTCGTCGTTGAGGATGAGCACCTTCTTGTTGTTGTCGTCGACGCTTTCCATCGTCGACGATGCGATTGTGGCTTGGTTCACTTGCTTTTGGCTCTCGGCGAGAAGCTGGAAGACCTCGGTCACGGACGCCTTGAGGTCGTCGAGGATCACACCGCGCTGGCTGCGGCTAAGCATGCGCAGCTTGGCCTGGCGGCGCTCGCGCTGGAAGCGCTGCTCTTCCGTTTCTTCGACCTCGGCGGGTCCGCCGCCGATGTACGAGCTGAGTTGCCGAAGGAACTCCATCTCTCCTGCCAGCGAACCGACGATTTCGAAAGTGCAAAGATCGCGAGCTTCCAACTGAAAGGCCATTGGTCGAAACTACGCATTTCGAAATTGGAAACTACGAGCCCATTGGCTGCATTTCAGTATATTCGACTTTTTTAAACCAATGGCCTCGACCGGATCTTTCGACGCAAGCCGAGCGCCGCCGGCAGCCGACGACGATGAACATATGAAGCGCAACTGTATTCATGCCGATGTTAATACCCGCGCTTCTCCTTGAGCTTCTTGACTGCCTTGGGTGCCGGGAGGTCCACGGGCGTGGCGCCGCCGTAGAGAACGTAGTGGTCAATGTCGCGTGTTTGCGACAGCTTGTCGTGGCCGGGGGCCTTGGAAATGACGTGGCGGTCGCAGACGCCGCCTCCGTTGCGCGCAAAACAACAGCAGCAGTACGAGTACAAGTTGAACTTGGTCGGGACGTTGTCCTTGACCCACGTGAGCGCGTCGTTGGCGTCGCCTTCCTGAAACGGGTAGTTGGCCCAGTCGTGCTTCTCGAGACTCGGGTTGTTGTCGACCTCGCCCACCATGTGGTTGCATGTGTTGAGGTAGATGCGCGGGCGCGCGCCTTCGCAGTGCCACTCCTCAAAGACGACGTCCATTTGGTAATGGTACATGAGCGAGAACCAGTTGCAGATGTTGCGCTTGTCGCCTTGGGCCCATCGTTGGTTCTAAACGCACGAGAACGCATGAGCTAGTTACGTAGCCTCCATGCAAGCACGTCGTACGCCCGAGTGATCGCCGGTATAAATACTGTTCCAGGGCCGGACCGACTGTGGCGTCAAGTCGACGCCTCTGAACTCAAGGTAGTTGATGTCGGCCGTGCGCTCGTACGCGTGGCGGTTGAAGGACCGGTACAAGAGCGTGGCAAAGCCATTGTGCTTGCGCTCGTCGCCGCGGTTGTACGACGACTCGCCCGCAAAGATGATGCAGAGCTTGCAGTGGAGCTGGCCCGTCGAGCCATGGCGCTCGAATGCATACAGGATCTTGATCAGGTGGTTCTCATTCTCGAGGTCGACCTTGGGCTGCACGAAGATGGGCAGGCAGCGGCGCAGCCACGTCAGCTCTGGCGACTCGCCGTTCACCGACTTGTCGGCGAGGCTGTACAGCGCGGCCATGCTGCGAAAAGCCAACTAATCGTTCGGATTTCGAGTGGCATCCGTTTCGTAAGCCCGGACCAAAGCCGGAGAGCATACAAAAACCTATATAAAGGCTGAAACGGCTGGTGCAACAAAGTTAGAATTCGGACACAATATCCTACCGGAAAGCAAAAAGTCCTTTTTAGAGATCAAGTGAGATTTCCGGTCGGCTTTTTGAGGCAGGACGAGCGCGACACTCGCACCTTGGCGCGTCGCGTCGACGTGACACCCGCTTCACTAAACACGCAACACGAAATAGCACGCTAGCGACTAACTCCAACTAACTAACTACCACCATGGACGACGGAAGAGTAAGTTCATTGTAGATCATTGGGATATACACTGTGGCGGAAGCCTTTGCGATGGCCACGACTAGTGCAGCAGTGTCTAAATGCAGAGCTAGTCGGTGGGACGACCGGGAGGTTGACTCTGATGACCATCGTCCCGCCCTGGACGCAATACCCCAAGACAAAGATGTATAGCAACGCTAAGTAGTTAAGGTCTTGTACATATCGTGTCCTACTTGGACGGCGTCGCTTTTTGGTGCAGCATCTCGTCGTTCAAATGACTTGTGTGGAAGCTCAAAATCACAAAGGCCCAGAGGTGTAGCAGCACCAAGTAGCACACACACGCCACGCGGGCTGCGGGATACGCTCGAAGGAAGCGTCCGAAGAGAAACAACTGCTTGTCCACGGCGCCAACTAGCCAAATCTGCGTGAATCACAGCACCGAGCATACTCCCCGCATACCTGCATTCAAGACACGATTGTGCTGTGGTCGATGTGTGTTCTGGTACACGGGCAACCCGCGCTTGCGGCCCGCCTCGAGATCCAGCGACGTCTACGCACGCGTGACGCCCTGTTCTTTGCTCGTGATGCCACTGTTGTACCTCTTTGTGCGCCCGGAGCTCATTGAAGCGCATCTCGAGCGACGCGTAGCGACCGCGAAGGCCGTCAAGCTGTTCTTGCTTCTCCAAGAGGCGGTGCGTCATGGCTTGGAGCTGGCTCTTGTGTGCGACGTCGTCGTCGGCGATCGACGACGAGCGTCGGGGCTCGACAGCGACGACAGGCGACGGCTTCGTCGCTTGCTTTAGCGCTGTCTGAAGCGCCTCGGTGTGCTGGCGGTCCTTCTCGAGCAGCGTGCCTTGCAGCAGCGTGAGCTCGCGGCGGAAGGTCGCCACTTCCTGCTCGTGCAACTGCGCCTTCCGCGTTTCTTCGTAAAGCGCCTTCTTGGCCGCGGCCAACGCGTGTGCTGTCTGCTGCAATTCCGCGTGCACCGGCGCAGGGTGCAGCGTCGCCACCTACGTCGTACTTTCGAGCGATAGAGACGAGGCGGCAGCGTACGGTGGTCGACTTGTCGCCGAGTTGACGCTCGAGTGCGGCGACGTCTTGCGTCAGCTGCGCGTTCGTGGCTTCGAGCTGGCACTGCCGCGCGTACATCGACTGCTTGGCGTCGGCGTGGTCCTTCTTGAGCGATGCGATGAGCGTTTGCGCCTCTTTGAGCTCGACCTGCGCCGAGAGCAGCTGTTCGTGGACGCGGGCCTCGCCGCTATTCGTACGTGTTCATATCAAGTTGAAACATTGAGATTCGACTACCTCGCCGCTTGGGTCCACGCCTGGTCCTTGTTGTTTCGGATCTCGGCGAGGGCGTGACGCACCGCGTCGAGGTCGGCTTGTTGTCTATCGTAGGATCAACCTGAGCGACAGATCGGTATAGAGAGCCTGCGAGTACGCTGCGTGCGCCGTTTTGGCTCTGTCGAGATCGGCCTGGATGGCTTGAATGTGACCGTCTTTCATGGCCAGTGCGGTCGTAAAGCCTTCTTCGTCACTGGCCTTTTCTTGCTTGAGCGTTGCAATCTACCACGCGCCATGAGCCATCGCAAGCGCGACGACGCCGACAACCTCGGTCTCGAGCGAGGTGATCTTGGCCGTGCACTCCTTGTCGAGCGCGTCGAGTTCGTCTTCGCACACGCGGTACCGCTCGTGGCTCGTCGCCAAGTGGCGCTCGACCGCGACCAAGTCGGCCTTGAGCTTTGCGTTTTCTTTGCGTAGCCTAAATTCGCAGTCTTTGCACCCTCTTCCTGGCAAAGGCGACGCACCGTGTGGTTTCGTTCTTGGAGAGCGGGAGGTCGGGGCCCCGGCTTGGCGGCGAGTGCAGCGGCGCCAGCGACCGCGACGACGACGACGACAGCGGCATGTCTTCCATGATAAGACCGCTGTTGCTCTCGTTCTCCACTTCGCTCCACTCCGAGTACGAGTCGGACTCGGGGACCTCGCCCAACGCGCTTGCCGGCGCCAAGCTCGCATGCGACAAGGCCCGTGGGCCAAAGCCACTCTCACTCTAGGAGGCACGATTGAAGAAATGAGAACGCAGGCGATCGTAGCTGTACCCGCGCATCGGCCTCGTTCATGCGCGTCTCGTCTGCACCTAGTGGCGCACCGTAACGCACCGGCCACAACGCCGATGACCATGCGCACCTGCTTCGTCGTGGCGAGATTTGCGCAGCCGATCCTCTAGACGCGATGGTTGCTTGAGCCGCGCAAGGCCCATGGACGGCGGCGTACCTGCGATCGGCTTGAGCTTCCCAGCGGCCTTCTGGTCGACCGACTCGAGGAGCTCGCCCGCGCGCTGGAGCGACGTGCTGAGCCACGACGCCATGATCTCGCCGACGTTGGGAATGAACGCAAAAAACTGATCCAAAACCTGGCCACCTCTGTAATCCAATACCTCTTTCAATACATATATTTAGGTACCCTTTTCTTCGATAACCTGTCACATTTAATATTTGCCAGTCAACTCTTACGTCCAAGTCCAAGTTCTGTCGCATTGGCGAGCCGTGCGATCCCAGTCCGAGTTTGGTGCCACTGGTAGCATGCATAGCGCCAAGTACGATGGCAACGTACGTGACGATATGCTATCACCAAGGACCACGAGGTCACAGAGCGTGTATATGTGTGAGATGCTACGGTCAACTCGTCCACACCATCTGTCTCATCCTCAGCAAGTGATGATTAAGCTATTGTCAACGCCCGATGGCGCACCACTTACAGCCTGGAGCTCACTGAATGATGCTGTTCTTGGAGGTCTCGAGTACGGTCCGTCGCAGCGCCAGGGACGTGATCAAGATCGAGAGCCTACGCCGGCATCAAGTGAGCACGCCATGATTCGTCCATCAACCACGTACGAGACGATGGCAACGATGAGCCCTCCGTAGGCCAAGACGCGGCTCACGGACTTCCAGAGATTGAGGAAGCTGCCTCGGCACTCGCCGTATGGGGCGCCTTCAAAGTAGATCCTACCCGATCGTACAACCATGAGCCACAAAAGCAGTGCGGGCGATGTCTACGCGGAGTTGTTGGTGGTGTTCTGGAGGTATGTGACGCAGTAGGCTGTCGAGACAGCGTTGAGCGAGCAGTTGGTCTGGGACCACGTGAGAAAGTCGGCGTAGTCGGCGTAGTCAAACTTGGCGCAGAGCGCGCAGGTTTCGTTGAGCTTTGTCTCGAGCGCGACGTTGGTGATCTTCATCTGCGTCGAGTTGCACACTTGGTTCCAGCCCTGGAGCTGGCTAAAGAGCGGCCGCACGAGCGCCACTAACGACGCATCTTGCAGGAAGAGGTCGAGCGACGCCGTCACACTGCCCTGCGAGCAGTAGTACGCGACTTGGCCGTCGCAGTACATCTTGTTGAACTCTTTCGCGACCACATCTTCCTTCGCCTGGAGCGTACGCGGCGAGTCGGCCCACGTGTTGGCCGTGCTCAACGAGTAAAAGCCGCCGACCGTGATGGCGCCAAAGAGGAAAAAGTTGATGACAAGGCCCGCCGTGTACACGAGCAGCATGTGCCTAGCCAGCATTTCGTCGACTCAGCTCAGGTACCCTAGGATCTCGTACCGGTTGCGGGCCCAGGCGCCGAGGCAGCCGAGCAGCGACACGATGAGCACGACGACGCCAAATATAAGGAGCACAGTGAACGTCGTGTTCTGCACCCAGGCGTAGTTGGCCTGGAACATCTTGGTGACGCCAATGTTCTTGACCCAGAGCGTAAAGTAGATGAGCATGCCGGCGAGCATGATGAAGACGAGGTTCACGAGCATCACGAGCACCTTGGCGACACCCGTGAAGACGCTCGGCCGCTGCGACGGCTCAAAGTCGTAGGCCGACCGGCCCGGCGCGTCCGACGGCCGCGTATCGCCGTACCCGTCGTGGTGGAACATGCTACAAGCCAAATGGCAATGGCGTGCTGCCAACGTTCGTCCAAATTTATATAGAACAACGTATGCGAATGGCTGGCTTTTTTCGCACACGCATTCCCTTAAATCAAATGCTTTTGCCACCAACGCGTTATATTCTAGCCAATCCACGCCACATGTGGACGCCCTACCGACTTGGTTAAGGCAATTACAAACCCAGCTGCGATCGGCGCGCAGGTATCCGGACTGTCTACTCGGCCTTGGTCGCCTTGGCCGGGAGCGTGAGCAGCGGGATCTGGAGGTGGGCGCAGATCTCAAAGACGACCGAGAGCATGTAATGAAAGTAGATGAAGAGCACGATGCCGCAGTAGCCCGTCAGCGCCACGAGCGGCGGCACGGCCGCAAAGGCCTCGACCCTAGTACATGCTTGTGAGTGGCCATCGCAGCCAGCATCTTCGCCTACTGCGAGTACGTCGCTGCCAAGAGAGCAACGAGCGGGAAGAGGATGCGGAACTGCGGCGTGAACGGCACCTTGCACATATGGCTCACAATCATGCGCGACTAGACAGAGCGCTGAGCCGGCGCGAGCACACGTCCGTCCTTACCGAGAACATGACAAAGCTGAGGCCAATGGGCACGAGGAAGAGGAGCGGGTAGGCATCGTACTGCGGGCGGTAGGCCGCAATCAAGAGGTAGCCGGCGAGCGTGACCGCGAACGGCGGGAAGAGCTGGGCCAACGCGACGGCCTTGGAGACCTAATGCAACCCATGAGGGTTTGCCACATGCGACAACTCGGTCTCGTACCTGCTTGTTGCCAAGCTCTTCGCCTTGGAGGTGGTCGGCCGGCGCGTAAAAGACGTTGGTGATGCTATGGATGCATGAGATAGCGCGTCCTCGCAGTAGGAAGAGGTAATACTTGGTGTAGGAAAGAATGATGTTGCTCAGCACCAACGAGACGACGAGGACTTCGGCAAACGTGTACGGCGTGTAGGGCACCTCGAGGCGCCAAAAGTCACCGCCTAAAAGACGTGGCCATCAGCGTCCAAAGGAAAGAAGACAAGTTGTCGTACCGACTGCCGCGGTCAGCAAGTGCACAAAGACAAGCACGAGTTGGCCTTCGGTGACGCCAAAGTAGCCATTGCCGCAGCTCATCGTGCCAGTGTGGTACTCTTCCCTACGGTCCGATTCGCATACATTGCGCACATGTGCAGTCGCTGTACCATTGCGCGAGGTAAAAGGTGACGGAGACCGTGCAGATCGTCGCGTACGCCGCGTACGACGGGCCGAGCTCGAGCGCCGCGACCGCGCTCAACATGTTGATGAGCGTGCTCAGCGCATCGCAGCCTACAAAAGTGCAATGTGAGCTAAAGCTAAAGCGACGCTTGGATCGCAGACCGTGGTCAAAGAGTTGGCCGAGCGGGCTTGACGAGCCCGTGCGACGCGCCTGCTTGCCGTCAATGGCGTCGAGCGTCTGGTAGACAAAGAGCCCGAGACCGCAGACGATGTAGGCCCACGCGGGCGCGGCGCCGATGAACTGCGGGCAGATCGCGAGGAGCGAGCCGGTCGTGACGGCCATGATGATCGTGCCCGTGAGTGTCACGAGGTTGGGCGCCATCCAGAGCGGGAGGAGCTCGACCATAAAGTTCCAGTAGTGGTTGAGCTGGAGGTCCAGCCACGTGTACTGGCCGCTACCATGCGCGAATAAGATGCCGATAAGAAGACGGATACGAAGATGGACGTACGGCTTGTACTTGTACGCGGCGATGCCCTCGAGCGCTTGCTTGGAGAGGATACCCATGGAATCAATTTGCCCTTTTTCGCAACTGGCAGAAAGTCCCCTCCACGACTTTGAACCGATGGGAAAGTCCCTCAAAACAACGCTGGGTCGATGGTCACGTCACTTCAACCGCGTGGCGCCCACGAAAACGTTGAGATCGTCGCGATCTGCAGCAACGCTGGTCGCCTGCGACGACTGGACGAAATCGCATTGTGCCGATCGCTTTACAACTTTACTTGTTAACCCAGTGCGACTCTGTCGGCGGTGTTCCCAACCCTGTCGGAGGATGCGGAGCGTCACGCGCTGCATTCCAGCTGCCGCAGTGCTATGCGACCGGCGTCCCCGTCGCTGCCACTGTATGACCTCTTGTATACGAGTAGGGCTGGCTTCGTAGTCGCAGTCAACGCAGCTGCGAGGCAATTTTTGACTGCGATAAGAATGATTTTCAACCAGCGTAGGAGCATGGGCAGTATCGCGTGGTCTTGTTCAAGGCAATATCTACTCTGCAACCAAGAGAATCGTTGGCGTGCTGGCTTCTAGTCGGAAACCGGTACGAAGAAGAGGGTGTGAAGGTACTTCGCGAGTGATTACCTCGACAAGGAGCGTCGACGGAATGCTGATGACGGGCAATTCCTTCACAGCAACACCTTTCCACAACCGCAGTGGTCCCTCGATGCGTCGGCGACGTATTTCTCCGGATAATCGTTTCGCCGGATAGAAGCGCCGGGAAGCGTGGTGAAGCGCACAACACGAGCAGCACAACCACATTGCACATGGCCGAGAAGGACAAGTGGAAGCACTTTAGCCGCGGCGCCATGGCCGGCGGCCTCGCCGCCATCCTCTTCCAGCCCTTCGACGTCACATGGCCGAGAAGGACAAGTGGAAGCACTTTAGCCGCGGCGCCATGGCCGGCGGCCTCGCCGCCATCCTCTTCCAGCCCTTCGACGTCATCCGCACGCACCAGCAAGGCAGCTTTGCAAGCCGTCCGAACCTCACGGTGCGCGAGAGCGTGCGCCGGCTCGCGTCCGAGTCGGGCGTCGCCGGGCTCTGGCGCGGTACGACGCCGACGCTACTGCGTGTCTGCGGCGGCGCCGGACTCTACTTCTCCACGTTGCATCAGCTGGACGCGCAGAACCTCAACGTCCTCGGCTCCTTTTGTGCCGGCGCCTTTGCGCGGTCGTTTGCGGGCTTTGTCATGTCGCCGCTCACAGTCGTCAAGGCGCGCATGGAGTGGGCCGCGCCGTCGCACGACAAGGGCGCGATCGTTGCCGAGATGCGCCGCATGGCCGCCGAGCACGGCATCCGCGGCTTTTACCGCGGCATCATCCCGACACTGATGCGCGACGTGCCATTCTCTGGCTTGTACGTCACGCTCTACTCGCGCCTCAAGGCCAGCGTCGTGTGCGCCGACGAGCACCGGGTGGCTGCCAACTTTGCGTGCGGCATCGTTGCCGGCGTCGCGTCGACGATCATTGTACACCCCGCCGACGTTGTCAAGACGCGCATGCAGCTGGATACGCAGGCCATCACCGTGCGTGCAACGTTGCGCCGCATCTACCTCGAAGAAGGCCCGCGAGGCTTCCTGCGCGGCGTCGTCCCGCGTGTCTTCAAGCGCACGTTCTCAACCGCGCTCACGTGGAGCATGTACGAGTACATGAGCAGCCGCACGTAGCCGCCCGAGTCTTAAACTATAGAGCGTTCGTATTCGATCGTGTTGACGCACGCAATTGCAGAGCCGCTACGACCGTCGCGACGACGATCACTTCAAGTTGAAGCAGCGCCTTGAGCACCACGATGCCTTGACGCCCACACCGACCACGTCGCTGTACTCGCAAGGTATGTCAGCAATGGCGTCTAGGCAACGAAGATGATACATGGCAAGCCGACCATCTCCGTCCAAGGGCGCGGATCGCGCTGGTGAGCCAAAAATTCCGCAATATACGGGTAATATGCTCCAATATTCCGTCAATGCAGCAAAATACGGGAAAACGACCTACATTTTGAAGGACCTGCACTCGTCGTCGCCAGTCGCCGACAGTCGAGATGTTTGGCTTTGGGAAGGAGCCGAAGAAGACAGCGCGAGAGCAGGCGCGAGAGGCGAAGCGCGAGATCGCGCATGGCCAGCGCGACCTGGAGCGAGAGAAGATGACGTTGGAGCGGCAGGAGAAGCAGCTCGTCGTGGACATCAAGAAGGCGGCCAAGGACGGCAACCAAGCCGGCACCAAGATCCTCGCCAAGCAGCTTGTGCAGATTCGGGCGCAGAAGGAGAAGCTCATGGTCATGAAGGTGAGCCTCGGCGGCATCGGCATGCAGGCCTCGGTACGCAGACGGCTTACCCTGCCGTACATCTCAGGCTACGTCCGATTAGGCCATGGCGGCGCAGCAGACCATGGTGGCTACCATGGAGAAGACGACCAAGGTAGTCTCTTCATGCACGGGCGAAGGAGGATGCTCATGCATCTACAATGCAGACGATGGTGGCAGCGAACAAGCAGATGGACATGAGTCGCATCCAGAAGACCCTCATGGAGTTTGAGAAGCAGAGCGAACTCATGAGCATGGGCCAAGAGATGATCGACGACACGCTCATCGACGCTGTACGTCCCTTTGCGATATACTTTTGCATGAAACGACGCTAGTTTGATGACGACGAAGTCGAAGAAGACCTTGTCGTCGACCAAGTCTTGGCTGAAATCGGCCTCGCCCTCCACACGCAGCTCGCCGACGCGCCAACACAGAGCCTCGAGGCAATGCTGTCGCAGCTGCCGGAGGCGCCCAAGGCGTCGCCCGTCCTCCCGAGCGCGGCGCTAAAGCAGTAAATACGGGTCTCGATGATGACGTCCTTATTGACTTAGGGCAGTCGCTTCAGGAGCACGAGGCCTTCGGGCGTCGATCCGTTGGCGACAAAGCCGCGTTCGCTCTTGGCGTCACTGCCGACGCGCACGACGTAGACGGACACGGATAAATAGGGAGGGTACTGCGTCGACTTGGTCGCCTACACCAACCACATCGTACGCGATGCAGTGCGAACCATAGACGACGTACGTGGTCCATGCGGCCGGCGTGCGTTTGAATCGTAAAGGTCCCATCGATGGTCCGACACTCTTTCAAGCCCGAGAGCTCGACGTCGACGAACGGACGCTCGTCGTCATCCGAGTGGATGAGCGACACGCGGCAGCGGCCGTCGTTGGCTTCGTACAAGCGCTGGATGGCCGCGAGGCCGCCTTGGATGTAATTCTTGTGCGTCGAATCAAACACAATGTCGTCGCCATGCCCATGGAGCGCAATATCGTCATCGTCCAGCTTCTGCGCTGCCCGACGAGCCTAACCTTCCACGTCATGCGACTGCACCAACTATCGCCGATGTCTACCTGGCCGAGAAACGTGTACTGCGCCTCCCAACCTCGTCGACCTGGCGACGGACTCCAGTTGTGGATGCGGTGGAGCATGATGGTGATGCACCACGTCGAGAGGCCCGAGGACGAGCTGGACGCACTCAACGATCGCTCGCGCGGCCCGGCTTCGTCATTGTCTCTGTCCGACGCGTCATCGTCGTCGGATGCGTCCGACGTATCCAACGAGGCATCGGCTACGCCCTGGACGAGGTGCTGCAGCGACTTGTACGTGTGTGCGGGTGCGGTTGATGGCGGCGGCTGGCGACCGGATGCTTCGACGAGGTCCTCGAGCTCGCTGTCCGCTTGGCTCGATGCCAAGGACGCCGACGAGCCATGGAGTGTCTTGAGAAAGTGGTCCATGCCGGCTCTTGGCACGACCACGTCGTCGTGCTGCGAGGGTTGGAACGCATCGGCAATCGAGTCCATCCACTCGGTTGCAAGCTTGTCGTTGGTACAAAACGACGTGTCCGGCACGTAGACGCCGCAGTACTGCCGCAGCTTGTACTGCGCGCGAATGTGGCGGGTCGGGATCACGCGGAGCCGCTCCAAGCCGACGTTGCCTTTGAGATTGAAGAGGTCACCCATCGAGAGACTGGCGTAGACGTCCGTCTTGGTGACGTACGACGACCGAAACTGAAACATTTGGACGCTGGTGGCGCCGAGCACGACGTTGTACTTGTTGGGGGGGGCCGTGAGCGCCGGCTTGCGACGCCCTATTGGGTGGGGGGCCGCCCACTTGTTGGCGCTCCACTGAACCCGATCGCGCTTCTCATGATGGACATGCGCCGTGTCGGACGTTCGAATGAGCTCGATCGTGACGGCCGACTCGTCGGCGAGGTAGATGCCGAGCCCCGAGTTGTCGCGCAACTTTGACTGGAGCGGCGTCTTGGGGGCAAAGCAGTGAAAGCACCGCATGACGTTGAGCGGTAGCCAGTAGCTTTGCGCTGACGACGACTTGTCGTCTTTGGCCGGCGACATGCGCATCGCTTGCGCGTCGAGCGGAATGAAATTGTCATAGCCGAGCACCGAGAAGCGCAAATAGAGCCGCGACCGCTTCGGCTTGGGGTCGGCCGCGAGCGCGCGCTCCGACTCGTACAGCTCCTTTGGAATGTCATAGAGCGCTGTCAAGAAGAACATGAGCCGGCACAGCGTGAGCTCTGTCGGCATGTCGGTCAGAAGTGGCTGCGACTTGCACACGTCGTGCTCGGTGATGTACGTGACACCGCCGCCCGCCATGTGCTTGGCGGGGCACCCGAGCATGATTGAAAATTTGGCTTCGACCTGGAGGAGGAGCTGGTCGCGCTCGTAGAGCGCATAACAGAGGTTGCAGACGTTCCACGTTTGGTAGAAAAGGCCAGCATCAAGGTCGTACTTGGGCTCTGAGAGGTACGCGTGCAGCTGGTCGCTGCCCGCGCGGAGACTCAGCCGCGCGATCGTCTCGTGCATCATCTTCATCGTCATCTTGTACGCGAGTTCGGACGGAAAATGCGGCACTTGACAGAATTTGCACGGAAACATCTTGTGGACCTTGGCGTTCTCGGCCTCGAGCGCGGCCTTGGCGTCGACACGCGACGCGTCATCGTCGTCGTGGACGTCGTCCGCAACCAGCGACCGCTCGTACGCAGCCATGAGCTTGGGCGCAAACGCGTGCGGCCGCCCGAGCCGCACGTGCTTGAGCTGAAAGGCCTTGACCTAACCGCGGTTGCACTCGATACATTGATACAATCTCGTACTTGGATGAGCCACCATTGGCCGAAATCATCCTTGATAAAGTCTGCGGCAAAGAGCTCCAGCGCGACCCGAAGAGCTTGCTCGAGGTACTTGATAATCTACAGGGGGCCTTGCCACGTCATGGAACGCTGGAGACAGGCAGACGTACCCGTAGGTTGATGTCGTACACATCGGTGCACGCGCGCTCCGAGAGCTTGACGAACGAGCACGCGTCGTATACGCCGGTCGACGCGCAGAACCGCCGGACGTCGGGCGTCGCGTTGCCGTCCTTTGCCTCGAAAGGCGCCTTGTTGTTGATCATCCAGCCTGTCGGCGCTTTGCCTGCCTTGTAGATGGCGCGGACCAGAAAGGCTTTGGGGCCGCGGGGCTTGACGTACTTTTGTAGCGCAAACGTCACGGGTGACCCCACGGCTTTTGTGAGCGCCGACCGGAGCTCGATCGTCGAGAGGAGCTTGACGTGGTTGCCCGAGACGACGTGCCCAATGCCGGCTTTGGTCACGACGGGCTCTTTAAAGAGCACGACTGGGTCGTTCTCGAACCGCCGATTCCCGAGCTTGTCCATGACTTGGTTGTCGACAAACGCAATGCTCTAGCTCCGATATGTAGACACACGAAGCAGACGAGGCGTGTACCTTGCGAATCATGCCACTCTTGTCGCTGTAGAGCCACATGGGCGGGAACGCGCCGCCAAAGATGATGGTGTCGGGAATCCAGCACCGCAGCTGGAGGTGCGACGGCGGCGGCAGCGCTGGCACGTCGTCGCCATGGCTGCTCGGCTCGGCGATCGACGCGAGGTACTTGTAAAAGTAGACACCGGGCAAGCACCCTTCCGCGTACACGTGGCCTGTATTGGCCAAGGTGGCCTCGGCGCGCAGAACTTGGTAGCGGGCTGTCGATGGCTTGGACGGCTGCGGTTTTGGCTTGCGCGGCAAGACCGTCTCTTGCTCGAGGTGCGGTGGTGGCGCGACCCCGACGTCGGTCGAGAGGAGGCGGCGCGGCAGCGACCGCCGCATGACTGTTATGAACGCGCAAATAGCAAAGTTGGTATTTTTGAAACGGGCAGCATGGAGGCGACGCTCGTGCGCCTGCAGCGCCGCGAGCAGCACGGGCTACGCCACACCTTTTCGCGGGCGATCGCAGCACGCTTTTACGCCGACGGGTCCCTCGAGCGACGGCGGCGTGTCCTCGCGTGCACCCAGCGGCGCCAGGCGCGGCTTCAAGAACGGGCGCGCCTCGAGGCGTGGAAGAGCGAATTGCTGCGGCGAGCGCTCGACGAGAAGCGCGAGCTTGACGACAAGCGCCGCGAGCGCGAGATGGACCGCGCGATGCGGCGCCTCCAGCACATGAGCGCTGAAGTCATCCAGTCCGCGTGGCGCCGTGTGTACCATGGCATGCTCTGGCGTCGGCTGCGCGACAACGCGGCGTGTCTCTTGCAGCTTGCGTGGCGCGACTTTGTCCAGCGACGCAAGCAGCGCCGGTTCCGGGCCACACGCCGCATACAGCGGTGGTGGCGCCGGGCGGTCGTCGTGTTGTGCGTTCGCCGGGTGTGGCACACGTGGCAACGCGTGGTGACCACACGCCAAAACGCACGGTGTCGCGCACGCGCGTGGCAGGAAGCGAGGGCCGCGCGCTGCCTTCAAGCCCAGTGGCGAACCTACTGGCAGTTTATTCGCGACGCCGCGGCCATGACGCTGCAGCGGTGGGCACGGCGCAAGACCCGGCGACAACGCGTGAAGCGACTCGCAAGCATTTACCAACACCTTCAGTTTCTCGAGCGCATGGAAGCCAGCGCGCGCCGCCTCCAGTACGTGATCGGTCGCCACGCAGCGCGGACGCGCCTCCGTGCGGTGCCAACAGCCGCTGAAAAGCCACGCGCGGTGGCCGCGCACGAGATCTGCGTCGATGGCACGCGCGAGGCGGAGCTCGGCCGAACGACCATCCGCTTACGCGCGGAGATTGCGCGCCTCGAAATCGAGATTGCTCGGCTGCGCAACGACGCCTTGCCTGAAGCCCAAGCAATGCGGTTCGACGAGCGGGAGCGGCTCCGGCGGCTGCGGGTGCTCGAAGCCCAGCGGCTTGCACGCGAGTCCGAGGCCAATGCCCAGCGCAAGCGTGACGTCGAAGAGCGCAAGCGGCGCGAGATCCGCCTCGAGCTCGACAAGCACTGGGACCTCACCCGGCGCCAGCAAGGCAAAGGGAAGGGTCTCGAGCCATCGCGGCCCGACTCGCGATTCGAGCTTGTATAAGAGGTTGTAGATAGACGTATTTATTCAAGAGCAAGTCGCGTCCAGTTATTTGCGCTGCTTGAGGTAATGGCGCTGGCGGGCCACGTACATCTCTTCGTCATCATCGTCACCGTCGTCACTGTCACTGTCGTTGGTGGCACGTTTTGCCGGGCCGTTGTTGCTCTGCCACCGATCGAGCTGCGCCTCCAAGATCCGCCGCGGGTCGCTCTGAACACGCTGCTTCCATTCATCGAGCGCAGCCTCGGTTTCCGTGAAGCGTAGATCGTCGAGCGATGGAGCTATGGTATCTTTCTTGGCCGTCGTGTCGGGCGATGGCGGTGGCGGGGCGTCGCTCTCCTCTTGGTTGCTTGGTGGTGGGCGCCAAAAGACGTGCTTGGCGTCCACGCGCTTGTCGCATTCGTCGTTCGTCTCGGGCGTCGCCGTCGTTTCCATGCTGGTAGTTCTTCGACTATCGAAGCTTCCAAGTTTGACATTGCACTTGTGGGAAAATGAAACCTTCCACGTCGCCTCCAAGGAATTGCATGCTGCCACGTGGAGCATACATGTCTTCAAGACGTGAGCTGCCATCATCAGCTACTGCTGTAAGAACGTATAGCCTCGATATAGAGTCATGCCGCCCGAAGCTCGGTGGTACTACCCTCGCACCTTGAAGCTCTGATTTTCGCTGCCATCACTCCTATTGGCAGAGTGTGTGCAGTTTGTATTTGGGCGTGGAATGGACGAAGACTTCTTGCCACCGGCGCGCGCCGACACGTCGCCATGGGCGCTTCGCGCCGCTGGCGGCCTTGTCTTTGGCCTCGTCATTGGCCCACTGATTGCACTTCTGTGCCTGCCCATCCTGCTCTTTCTCGGTCTCTTCAAGCGCGAGGTGCTACGGCCTGTCGTTCGCGCGGCTTCGTACGACGCGTTCGAGAAAACGCCGTACTACAAGGACCCGGCCCGCCTCGGCCGCGTGTTTGCGACGCCTGTCGGGCAGCTCTACCGTCGCGGGGGGCTCGAGTACCAAGCGCGCGAAGGCTACTGCTCGGTTGCGACGCAGCGCAACCTGCTGAAATCGCTGCCACTCGTGTTGCCCTCGCAGCTACCACCCGCGCGAGGCGGCGCCGCAACGGCAGCTCAGTTTGCCGACGCGCTGCTCCGCCATAGCCACGGCCTTGTGACCTCGACACAGGTCGTCTATGGCAGCGACGGCGTTGACGCGTTCTGTGCGGCGCTGCGCCTCGCCAATGACGAGAACCACCGCGTCGCCGTCAATTTTTTACACGCCACGTTGTCAGGTACGGGGCCGCTCTGGCTGCCGTGGAACCTTCCGTTGGGAGTCGTGAGCGGCCACTTCTCCAACGTCGTTGGCTTCCTCGACGACGAGAACCTCGTCGCGATCTTCGACGTCAACGATGGCTACGGCGCATACCTCGTGGACGCGACACGGCTCTTTGAAGCGGTTTGCGCCGTCGACATTTCCAGCAACCGATCCCGCGCTCTCATTGTCGCATCGATTGCATCCCAAAGAGTATAATGATTTAGTTCCTGTTTGTTATTTGTTACTACTTCCGCCACCTCAAATTACGTAAAGGCTCAAAGGGTCGATAAGTAGTGGGAGAAGGACGTGGGTTTCTACATACATAGTCGTTGGAGCAGCAGCTCGAATCGGCCAAGAAGCAGCGACTTTAGCTAGCCAGGAGCCTATTTTGTCCAGTGGTCGCGTGAAAATGCCACCTTGAAAGCTCCAAATG